AATTTACCCCGGTTCCCCGACCGCTGTAATAGAGTATTAATAAATTAATAATAATAATAATATATAATCTTTTTCTTTAATTTTATAATTTCTTAATGTAATCAATCTGATAGAAGAGTTATCCGGCTACCAACTTAATAGTATTAAAAATAATGTTCACAAAATATCAGAACCGACACCAATCTTTGCTAAATAATTAACTGACTTCATGCAACAATGCCGCCAAAATAAATATTTAACATGTAAAAACATAAAAATGTAATAATATGATCATTTCTGTTCAAACTGCCTGGATAAATTAAACGATTAATTTATTATTGAATTGCATTTCCCCACTTACGTCAACTATAAATAACACCAGACATCGTGATAAAATTTATTATTTTGCTTTAACGAAATCTTATATCAACTCCGCACAAATGAGTTGGAATATGTGAACGTTGTAACAAAATAAAACAAATATTGGTAAAAGGAATTAAAAAAAGATCAACGTAAGCTTAAACATGTTCCATTTCTGTCAAGTTATCGTTTTGTTATTGACAATTGTATCGCAGGTGCACATGGAAACAAAAGGTTGAGGTGAGTTACGTAAACAAAAACCGATATAATATTTGATATTTAGACGCCAAATGCGAGAATGCAACGAAGTTCTGCGAAAATATTTGGTATTGCAAGAAAAATTCGTATCCTGAAAAATATAAAGCATGCGGCCACGACGGTTTAGTGGACAGAGTTTGCTGCGATCCCGAATACCCACCAACCAAAAGCAGAAAATGTAATTATCGACGAATCCAATTGATAGCTTTATTTTTAATTATTATTTTTAAAGTTTGCGATACGCTGTATAAGAAGATAGCAAGAGATGAATACGGGAACGAGATTTACGACTCTACAGTTCCTAGGACATATATCACTGCAAGCATTGTAAGTTTATCAAAATAAATTGAGTGAATTTTTATTTTTGTTTTTTTTTTAGGCTGCTTTAGGTCATCGAAATGAATCCTCAACGGATTGGGTGTGCGCTGGGAGTTTGATTAGCAACAAATTCGTGATAACTGCTGCTAAATGTTTAAAGTAACCAAATGTTAAATTAGTTTAGTTGTTGAAAATAATGATTTTTTTTTTTGCAGTCAGAGCATAAATATTGTTCGTTTAGGTGATAAGGATTTGAGCAGAGATGATGATGGTGTTGAACCTCAGGAATACGGCGTTTTAAAACATTTCGTTCATCCCAAGTATCAAGCTCCTTTCGTGTACAACGACATCGCGCTGATCGAATTGAATGACACTGTTACATTCACAAAGTTTGTGAAGCCTTCTTGCATTTACGATGATGCGAAACTGAGAGAACCACTGTGGATGGAAGTTGGATACAAGAAATTCACTTACGCATCAACGCAGGTGGTGGAGTTGAGAAGTCGTGCTTGCAATCTTTACTTTGATAGCGATAAGTTTGCTAATCTCGTGCCATTCGGACTGGATCAAGATACACAGTTTTGTGCTAGCTCCGCTACGTACCACTTCACATGTCAGGTAACACAACGAAGTCTGTGGTTGTAAAAATTGTTAATATTATTTTTTTGCAGTCACATTTTGGAGCACCTTTGCTCACATGGGATCTAAATTATGGTAGAACTTTCTTTATTATAGGAGTAACGGCGATTCCCAAACCGTGCAGTCACACCAACGAACCCGGAATTTACACCATAGTTTCCCATTACACCTCATGGATCGAATCGATTGTATTTCCAGATGATTAACTTATATTAAAAACAAATCATATCATTGTGTGTCATTATAGACTGACATATGCTTAGACAGAAACTAAGCAACTAATCTGTCTAGCAGAAAGCCAATATACCCATACGTTATTACGTAATAAATATAGAAAATAAAATTTTATAAACAAGTGTATATTTGCTTACATTACTAAATTGTGTATTTATTAATATATAATAAACATAAAAGATTTAATTTTAGAGAAAATAATGTGTAACTCAAAGATTACTTAAAAATAAATAATCTATAATAATTACGAAATTCATATTTCACGGAATATTTATTCGACTTGTCCACTATATTATTAAGTTCTCCCACCTGCATTGACTATATTTATTGCAAATGTTGTTTCTAGTGTAAACATGAATTTATTTCATTTCTTATTTTGCTTCAACGCAATCTTCCGCATATGAATTGAAATCAACGAAGGCCGAGTATATAATGACTAAGAGTCCAGTAATGCGAATACGTAACGTAAGCTTAAATATGTTCCATTTCTATCAAGTTATCGCGTTGTTTTTGTTGACAATTGTATCAAAAGTGCACATGGAAACAAACGGTTGAGGTGAGTTCTCAAAATGAAGACCTAAGTGACATATTGATTTTCAGACGTCAAATGCGAGAATGCAACGAAGATATGCGAAAACATTTGGTATTGCAAGAACAATTCGTATCCTGATAAATACAAAGCATGCGGCCACGACGATTTAGTGGACAGAGTTTGCTGCGATCCCGAATACCCACCAACCAAAAGCAGGAAATGTAAATATAAATCAATTCAATTAATAGATCAATTTTTTACTTGCTATATTTAAAGATTGCGATTCAATGCACAAAAAGGTTGTATTCGATGAGTACGGCAACCAAGATTATAGCTCTATAATACCTGCGAGTTATAACACTCCAAGCATTGTAAGTTTATCAAAACAAATAGAGAAAATTAGATATAAAGTTTTATGTTTTTTTAGGCTGCTTTAGGTCATCGTAATGAGTCTTCGACAAGTTGGGTGTGTGTTGGGAGTTTGATTAATAACAAATACGTATTGACTGCAGCTAAATGCTTTAAGTAATTATAAATAAATGTTGATTAAATTGACATCAATAAGAAAATTTTAAATATTTTCTTTTCAGTAACCAAACCATAAATATTGTTCGTTTAGCTGATATGGATTTGAACAAAAATGATAATGATGCTAATACTCAGGAATATGGAGTGCTAAGACATATCATTCATTCAAAATATAAATATCCTTTTGCATACAACGACATCGCGGTCATTGAATTGAATGACACTGTTACATTCACAAAATTCGTAAGTCCTATTTGCGTTTACGATGATGCGAAAATAAGGGAACCACTGTGGAAAGAAGTTGGATACAAACATTTAATCTACAGATTAATACAGGTGCTGAGGCTAAGAAGTCGCGCGTGCAATCTCTACTTTGACAACGATAAGTTTGCTAATCTCGTACCTTTCGGATTAGACCCAGATACACAGATTTGTGCTAGCTCCCCTTCGTACCATGACACATGTCAGGTAATGTCACGGTATCCATGATTGTTACACATTTTTTAAACGTTTGTTTTTTGCAGTCGCAACTTGGAGCACAGTTGCAAACTTTCGATCTAAATTACGTCGGTGCTACATTTCTTATAGGAATAACGACGATTCCTAAACCATGCAGCTACACCAACGAACCCGGTCTTTACACAAGAGTTTCCCATTACGCTCCGTGGATAGAGTCTATCGCATTTCCAGATGATTAACAAATTATTAAACATTTTTAAAAATATGAAAAACTTTTCTTTATTCAAGAAACTTTGTCTAAACACTAACGTTCTAAACAGAAAACTGATATATTTCAAGGAGAAATGAATACTATTGTTTTATTTTTTCAAAATCTTCGACATTTTAATTAATAACCATGTTAAGTTTCTTCTTCATATAAATTATAAATGTTATTATCTTATTAAGTTCCCCCCACTTGCGACAGGAATTACTTATCAGGAATGATGTTTTTAACGTAAACGTAATTCACTTCAGTTCTCATTTTGCTTTACTACAATCTTGAATGTTCGCAGCACAACTGAGTTGGAATAATAATGGTCAAGGTCCACTAATGCGAATTACTAAAGTAAGCTTAAATATGTTCCATTTTTATAAACTTATTGTGTTGTTGATACTTGCATCACAAGTGTATATGGAAACAAGAAGTTAAGGTGAGTTAACCAAACTTGAACACGGATATAACATTTTGATTTTCAGATGTCAAATGCGAGAATGCAACGAAGTTCTGCGAAAACATTTGGTATTGCAAGAAAAATTCGTATCCTGAAAAATATAAAGCATGCGGCCACGACGGTTTGGTGGACAGAGTTTGCTGCGATCCCGAATACCCACCAACCAAAAGCAGAAAATGTAAATATCGACGAATCCAATTGATAGCTTCATTTTTAATTATTATTTTTAAAGTTTGCGATACGCTGTACAAGAAGATCGCAAGAGATGAATACGGGAAGCAGGTTTATAACTCTACAGTTCCTAATATATATATCACTGCAAGCATTGTAAGTTTATCAAAATAAATCGAGTGAATTTGTATTTTTGTTTTTTTTAGGCTGCTTTAGGTCATCGAAATAAATCCTCGACGGAATGGGTGTGCGCTGGGAGTTTGATTAACAACAAATTCGTGATAACTGCTGCTAAATGTTTAAAGTAACTAAATGTTAAGTTAGTTAAGTTGATGAAAATAATGTTTTCTTTTGCAGTCAGAGCATAAATATTGTTCGTTTAGGTGATACGGATTTGAACAACAATGATAATGAACCTAATATTCAGGAATATGGAGTGCTAAGACATATTATTCATCCAAAATATAATTATCCTTTAGCATACAACGACATCGCTCTGATTGAATTGAATGACACTGTTACATTCACGAAATTCGTAAGTCCTATTTGCGTTTACGATGATGCGAAAATAAGGGAACCACTGTGCTTAGAAATTGGATACAAACAATTATTCTACAGATTAATAGAGGTGCTTATGCTAAGCAGTCGCGAGTGCAAACACTACTTTGACAACTATAAATTTGCTAATCTCGTACCTTTCGGATTAGATCCAGATACACAGATTTGTGCTAGCATCCCTTCGTACCATATGACGTGTCAGGTAATGCAACGGTATTCATGATTGTTACACATTTTTAAACGTTTCTTTTTTGCAGTCGCAACTTGGAGCACAGTTGCAAACGTTCGATCCAAATTACGTTGATGCTAGATTTCTTATTGGAATAACGACTATTCCTAAACCATCCAGCTACACCGACGATGTCGGTCTTTACACAAAAGTGTCCCACTACGCTCCGTGGATAGAATCTATCGCATTTGCAGATGATTAACAAATTATTAAATATTTTTATATCGTATATATCTTAAAAATATTTTCTTTAATCAAGAAACTTTGTCTAAAAACTAACGTTCTAAACAGAAAACTAATATTTTTGAAAGAGAAATGAACAATATTATTTTATATTATAAAATCTTCTACATTTTAATTAATAACCATGTTAAATTTCTTCTTCCTATAAGTTAAAAATGTTCAACAATTGCTTATATACAAATCATATTAAATATTGTAATATGTAATAAGCATGAGTAATTCAATTTTAATCTTTCTGTTTTATAATAAAATAAAATGATTTTCATTATTTAATAGATTATTATAAGAATATTCATGTTTCATCTCTTGGGAAAGTTTATGCGATTTGTTTATTATATTATTAAGTTCCCCCCACTTGCGTTGTTGTTTTGAACGTAAACGTAATTCACTTCATTTCTCATTTTGCTTTACTACAATCTTGAATGTTCGCAGCACAACTGAGTTGGAATAATAATGGTCAAGGTCCACTAATGCGAATTACTAAAGTAAGCTTAAATATGTTCCATTTTTATAAACTTATCTTGTTGTTGATAATTGCATCAAAAGTGTACATGGAAACAAGAGGTTAAGGTGAGTTAACCAAACTTGAACACCGATATAACATTTTGATTTTCAGATGTCAAATGCGAGAATGCAACGAAGTTCTGCGAAAACATTTGGTATTGCAAGAACAATTCGTATCCGGATAAATACAAAGCATGCGGTCACGACGGTTTGGTGGACAGGGTTTGCTGCGATCCCGAATACCCACCAACTAAAATCAGGAAATGTAATTATAAAGCAATTCAATTGATTATTTAATTATTTTACTTATTTTATTGAATAGATTGCGATTCAATGTATAAGAAGAGGGTAATAGATGAGTACGGAAACAAAGATGAATCCTCCATAATCCGTTCGAGATATGACACTCCCAGCATTGTAAATTTATCAAAACAAATTGAGGTAATTTATATTTATATTTGTTTTTTAGGCTGTTTTAGGTCATCGAAATGAGTCTTCGACGAGTTGGGAATGCATTGGAACATTGATTAGTAACAAATTCGTGTTAACTGCAGCTAAATGTCTTAAGTAAGTACATCAATATTTATTAACAGAAATAAGAAAGAATAATACTTTTTTCTGCAGTCAAAGCATAAATATTGTTCGTTTCGCTGATAGAGATTTAAACAAAAATGATGATAATGCTAATACTCAGGAATATGGAGTGCTAAGACATATCATTCATCCAAAATATAAATATCCTTTTGCATACAACGACATCGCAGTGATCGAATTGAATGACACTGTTACATTCACGTATTACGTTAAATCTATTTGCGTTAATGATGTAGCGAAAATAAGGGAACCACTGTGGGATGAAGTAGGATACAAAAAGTTTAAATACACAAGAATACAGGTGCTGAGGCTAAGTAGTCGCGCGTGCAATCTCTACTTTGACAATGATAAGTTTGCTAATCTCGTACCTTTCGGATTAGATCCAGATACACAGATTTGTGCTAGCTCCCCTTCGTACCATGACACATGCCAGGTAATGAAACGGTATTCTTAACTGTAACATATTTTTAACCGTTTTTGTTTTTTGCAGTCGCAACTTGGAGCACAGTTGCAAACATTCGATTTTAATTACAGAGGTGTTACATTTCTTATAGGAATAACGACGATTCCTAAACCGTGCAGCCACACCAACGAACCCGGTCTTTACACCAGAGTTTCCCATTACGCTCCTTGGATCGAATCTATTGTATTTCCAGATGATTAACAAAATATTAAACATTTTTTAAATTGTATCATATTTTCTTAAAATACTCGTTTTATTCCTAAATCTAATGTGTCTGTAAATTCAAATGAGAAATGAACACTATTATTTTATTTGAATTTATGACACATGAGTCTAGCAGACACACGACATGTGTCAGAGGTGACACTACGAGACATTTTGTGTGACACGCCCAAAAAATATTATAATTCATGTTCATTACATATTGTATCGTTGCATAACACGAGTTATACAACGTTTTTGATGACATTGGATGACATTGGTTCAAAATACCGACTATTTTTTTTATTTTGGACATGTGTTAAGTACCCAAAACAATATTCTTTTTTTTTTTTCAAAAAAATATAATTAGACTTGAATTTTAACACATTTAATCGCGGCGCACTTAATATATCTGAAAGCTTCGAAAAAACAGAGTAAAGTTTGCTTATATCCAGAGAAGTATGCGCGACAAACTCATTTTTTAATAATATATATGTTTAAATAAGAAATGTCTTTATATTTTTGCTTATAACTCGAAAAGTATTCATTGATGAGCAACCAAATTAAAGCTAAATATTCTTCCGTCTCAATCCCACTCACTTTTCGAATATTGTTTACTACTTAATTCCATAATTACAAATAGTGGTAGGTCATTTGGAGGTAGTGTTTAATATGCATATCTATATGCAAAATCCTGCACTTATTATTTTTTTTATTTTTTCTTAATTCGTTTATTTGCGATTGAGGATGGCCGAACGGCATTCCTCGATAAATCCTGATTTGTTCTTTTCGAAGCACACATTAACCAGTTTCTCGTTGTGAAACCCAACAAAGTTCTGGGTATTCCCAAATGCGCAATTATTATTTGGTTGATTTGGATTAACCGTCGACTGTTGGGAAAGTGCGTTCCGGCGTTTTTCCCTGAATGAAATCGTTTCCATCGCTACCGTACCACAACAAACTGCGACCATCGAAGCCGAACAAGAATTTCGAACGCTCAGTCTCAATATGATCATCGCGAAAGATGTCACCGCGCTGCCGTTCCTTCTACTTCTCTTCGCGATTTCCATACACGCGACAGCAATTTACTTCGAAGAAGGTACGATTTCTATATTTTAATAATTTTCTTATTATTCCTAGTATCAAGGTCGATTTGCTATGGATATAACAAAACAAACACAAACACAAACGACCATGAATCATATCACATACATCTATCTACATTATATACATTAAACTTGCGTTAGAAAAAAAATATAATTCTATTGAAATAAATATATTGAAATTAATAAATTAGAATTTTAACAAAATCAAGAGAGCGCATAACAAAACAAACAAAAAATAGCATCCATTAATAAACAAATAAATAATTTCGTATCTACAAAATAACGGTTTGACTAAAATAGACTTGTTTTTGGAAATTTAAAGTTTACAAATGATTTAATTGATAAAAAATATATAGAATCATTATAAAACTATGATTTAAATAAGCTAGACGTCCAATAAAATCATCATACAAAGAATTAGACATATGAATTTTAGTTTGAAAAAAAAATAACTTCAATAAATAATTATGTTTATTAACCCTTTGTGATAGTTATTTTTATTTGTTGTGATTATTTTAAAGAATATTATTAAAATAGTTTTCTGAAAGTTTTATTACAGTAATAAAATAACGAAAGTTTGATATCATAATTGCTAAATGCGGAAGTAAAGCGGTTAAGATAAGATATGTAATGGAACTCTACACTATTTATTATAAATTGCAATTTAGATACTTACACTAATTAATAGTAAAAAGCTTTAACATGGATTAACATAACATTAACATTAAATGGAGGTTTTGAATAAACAATTAGTATTCAAAAAATTAGAAATAGTTTTAATCTTTATTAAGTTTTATTAATGTATGTAAAAGTTTCACATATTTGAGAAAAATAAATTGTTTCTGTTTTTGAACTTTCGAGGTCGCCTTTCTAAAAGAATTTATGGATTTGTATTTTCGAAAAGACATTTTTGTTATATTTGATAAACTACTACATACTAGCTAGTATCTACATTTTCTAATTGTAACTTCTATAAAAAAAAAAACTATTAAATCCTAATTTAGTTTTTTTTTTTACTTTTAAAATAATTAACTACAAATATTGTGTTGTAGATATAAACGATTGCTGCGATGGGGAGACATGCATGGAGATAGGATTTTGTCCGAGCGCCATCGAAATTGTCAATAAAAGGCAGAAGCCAAAACCATGTGGTTTCATCGGAAAAGTACCCTTCGTCTGTTGCCCAGACAAAGTTGCAAATAATCCTGTCTATGTGGTACTTAACATCGCTAATGCAGCAGCAGAAAGTAGAATAAATTCATCAGCATCATCAACAACAACATCCACAACAACATCTACAACAGCAAGTACTACTACAACTACAACAAGTGGTCCAATCGAAATTGCAACGACTTTGAGCAATGATCTGACAGTTGTAGAAACGACATTTGCAAATACTGAAACGACACCAATTCTGAATCTACCACCATCAACGACCATTAAAAGTACTGAATATGTTGTGGGATCCAAAGTTAAGCAACGTAAGAATGATTTATTTTCTCTTTATAAGAATTAATTAAAATTATAAAATAAAAAAACATATTTAAAACATAGTTAAAATAATCTATAGTCAAAGCTTCTCATAAAATTGACAGTATAAACGTCAATTCTAAAGATGATCAATAATTTTTTGTGCAAAGTATTACTATTACTCTAAATAAATAAGTATTTCTTTTAAATTTAAGAATGCGACAAGACATATGACAAATTCACCTTTGATGAATATGGAAAAGTCATATATACCACTTCGAGAGACAAGCCTACTTTGATCGAAAATTCACCACATGCGGTAAACAAAACAATTGATTAATTTAACATTTAGATTTAAATGTAGTAATTGCAGTAAGAGCCCGCTGTTCGTTAATCAACTGTTACACAACAAACGAAACTGCATGGGAGTATCAAAGTAACAAAATCGTGCACGATTTCGAGGATTCGAATTCAAGTCCGTAATACTGAAACAGCGTTAAGCGGGATCTTACTGTTTTCTTAATAAATAACAGCAATTCTCATCAAAAAAAATACATTTCGATTTATTTTCAGGCGGCTTTGGGTAATCAAAAAGGCGATAACATCGAATGGCTGTGCGCCGGAAGTTTGATCAGCGAGAAATTCGTATTGACCGCAGCGCATTGCATTGAAAAGTACATTTTTAAATTGGTATTATTTTTTTAAATATCACATTAACAACTCTTATTTTCAGCAATACAATTAATTATGTTCGTGTGGGCGATTCTAACTTGACCAGTAACACAGATAAACTCGATCCCCAAAACTTTACGGTTGTCAACGCAATTATGCATCCAAACTACACGAAACCACTTAGATATCACGATATAGGCGTATTGGAGCTGGACAGACCCATCATCGTTAACAAATTCGCAAAACCGGCTTGCCTTCATTTTAATGAACGAATTTCAGAAACCAACCTTAAATTGGTGGGATTTAACGACAATAGTGCGACTAATTTCCTTTATACCTTAACAGTTGCCGAAGCAGACAAGAGAGTTTGCAATTTCCATTTCAATTTACCTATGTATAAAGAATTATTACCGGACGGACAAGATTTAAAAACGCAGATTTGCGCTAGTGGTTTTCTCAAATTTTCTCCTTGCCAGGTACATCTGTGATTTGTGAATATTTTCGATCTTCTAATTATATTTTTGTTTTTAGCGCGATACCGGTGGCCCCATGCAGGTCCACAATTGGGCTTATACTGAAGGAAGATTACTGATTGGAGTCACATCCATTGAGAAACTCTGTAATGGCAAAAACGCTCCTGGACTTTACACGCGAATTTCCTATTACATCCCGTGGATCGAGTCCGTCGTGTGGCCAGATCTCTAAACGTTTTGTTTCTCTCCGCTTGATAATGTTGAATGTTTTATTAGGTTCGAGAAGCAGTCTCTTTACATTTTTGCTTATATCCCGAAAATTATGCACTTTTTAATAATCAAATTAAAGCTAAATATCCACTCTTTCAAATGTGTAAACGTCAATATTTGTGTATTTGTTATTTAGACGTAATTCACTGTGATACTTGAAGAAATATTTTTATAAACTTCTATAAATGTCTTTACATGTTTGTCATTATCGCGAAAAGGAAAAAATAGAAAAAAATATCTTCATCTCAACATAGTCTTCTTTTAGCTCCATACACTTTTATCAGCGATGTATAATAGTTTCGATACCCTGTTTATAGTGGAAACCGTCGATTTCTAAAAAATAGTCGGCACCCGCAGACTCCACCTCTTCATTTTTGAAAAATCTTTTACTATCGAGCTATTTTCTTAAGTTTGGAAAGAGAAAACTAATCCAAGGAGTCTAAATCTGGCGAATTCGAAGCAATACGAACTTTAATTCATTGATTTTGGCCATTTCGATAACGGATGTGCATTGTCTTGACTGTGACCAAACGCGGCACAGCTTCCTCACCTCAAAATTTTCAGTCAATATGCGATGTACAGCACTTTTTGAAAAAACTACCAAGTATGCTAGTTCGCGCACTTTCAGTCGACGGTCGACAAACTATTATTGGATTATTTTCTGGATTTTCTGCACCTTTTCTGGTCTTGGCTGCTCTTATGACCTCGTTTAATCTCTGTCAACCAATTTTTTTTGTTGTAAACAAAGAAGCAGACTCCCTAAGAGTAGAATCTAGCTAGGCTTTTAAATGAAAGTATTGTATCACATAATAATGTCCAATTTTTTCCATCTTTGCAAATTTACACACAGCGTTCACAATTGATGGCTATCAAACAAATACTAAACAACATAGCGTCTTCAAACTTAAGCATTATAATCTTGATCAAAAGATCATAGAAGTTTATTTTCAAACAAAAACTGTCCCATTCACGTTTTTGCATTTTCTTTACTACTTAATTCCACAATTATTAAATTATAGTCCTAATTCTTCTTTAGGTTGTTTTTAATATCCATATGCTAAATCTTGCACTCGACGTATTTATTTATTCTTTCTTAATTCGTTTATTTACGATTGAGCGACTTAACCATAACTTATATGTTAACCCGTTTCTTGTTGTGAAACCCAACAACGCCCTGGGTATTCCCAAATGAGCTATTATTATTTGGTTGATTCTGATTAACCGTCGGCTCTTGCGAATGTGCGCTCCGACGTCAAACTGCGACCGTCGAAGAATTCCGAACACTCAGTCCGAAAATGATTTTCACGAAATATGTTACTACTCTGCCCTTCCTTCTCTTTATCTTCGCGATTTCCATACACGCGACAGCAATTTACTTCGAAGAAGGTACGATTTCCACTTTAATCATTTTCTTATTATTCTTAGTATCAAGGTCGATTTGCTATAGATATAATAACATAAAACATAACCAATAACCATGAATCATATCACATACATGCTGTCGTGTCCCAGGGATGAAATTCTGGACACAGTGGAATATTTTCTTCTGGTGTTGTCGTTTTGGAGTCTTAGTTGTAGGAAGTAAATAATTCACTTTGTTTTAACAAGTTTATTTTAATAATTAGTACTCTTCCAAGACAATGTATTACTTTTTGAGATTGACTAAGACTAATTACAAATATATATTTTACTAACGAAGTTAATTTGTATTAATATGGATGGGGTGGGAGTTTGAGGAGTAAGGCACGTTTGTTAAAAAGATCCTCCACTTCAGGTCACTGTTCTCCGTGTGATCTGTCGATTCTGCAGTTTTGTTATCAGTTGAAAATACGAAGAAATGCCGCAAACGGTCACTGTCTTCCGTGGGATCTGCCTTTTGTTATCAGTCTGCATTTTGGTTTCTAGTATGATTTATAATTTAGTGGTTGGACACAACAATGCATTAAACTTAAACAAAAAGAAATTAGATTTAATCGAAGAAATTGTCCATCTAATAAAGACGTGAATAATTGCGTATTTACATAATAAGGGATTGACTAAATTAAACTTGTTTTGTGGAAAATGTTATTGAATGTGTGATTTATTAAATTAAATTGAAAATTTACAAATGATTCACTGGGATTCACAATGAGAAAATTTGATTTAAATAAAGTAGGCATTAAATAAAATTAAGTAGATATATTATGTTCTAGATATAATCGATTGTTGCGATGGGGAGACATGCATGGGGATAGGATTTTGTCCGAGTGCCATCGAAATCGTCAATAATAGGGAGAAGCCAAAACCGTGCGGTTTCATCGGAAAAGTACCCTTCGTCTGTTGCCCAGACAAAGTTGCAAATAATCCTATCTACGTGGTCGCTAATGCAGCATTACAAAATAGAATAAATTCATCTGCAACATCAACAACATCAACAATTACTACTACTACTACTACAAGTAGACCAATAGATGTAACATCGACTTTGAGCAATGATCCGATAGTTGTAGAAACAACATTTGAAAATACTGAAACGACACCAATTCTGAATCTACCACCATCAACGACCATTAAAAGTACTGAATATGTTGTGGGATCCAAAATTAAGCAACGTAAGAATGTTTTTGTTTCTCTTTGTAAGAATGAATTAAAATTATAGATGACTTCTATCAATAAATATTGTGCAAAGCATTAATATTGTTATAAAGAATATGTATTTTTTTTCTTAAATTTAAGAATGCGAGAAGACGTATGACAAATACCCCGTTGATGAATATGGAAGCGTTTTATTTACCGGATGGAAAGACAAGCCTACTTTGATCGAAAATTCTCCGCATGCGGTAAAACAATTGATTAATTTCACATTTAGATTTAATTCCAGAAATTATAGTTAATAATAAAAAAATAACACTTTTCGACTTATTTTCAGGCGGCTTTGGGTAATCAAAAAGGCGATAACATCGAATGGCTGTGCGCCGGAAGTTTGATCAGCGAGAAATTCGTATTGACCGCAGCGCATTGCATTGAAAAGTACATTTTTAAATTGGTATAATTTTTTTAAATATCACATTAACAACTCTTATTTTCAGCAATACAATCAATTACGTTCGTGTGGGCGATTCTAACTTGACCAGTAACACAGATAAACTCGATCCTCAAAACTTTACGGTTATCAACGCTATTATGCATCCAAACTACACGAAACCACTTAGATATCACGATATAGGCGTATTGGAGCTGGACAGACCCATCGTCGTTAACAAATTCGCAAAACCGGCTTGCCTTCATTTTTATGAAGGACTTTTAGAGACCAACTATAGATTGGTTGGATTCAACGACAATAGTGCGAATAATTATCTTTATACCATAATAGTTGGCAAAGCAAACAAGAGAGTTTGCAATTACCATTTCAATTTACCAATGTATAAAGAATCTTTACCGGACGGACAAGATTACGAAACGCAGATTTGCGCTGGCGGTTTTTTCCAAGGCGCTCCTTGCCAGGTACATCGCAATCTGTGATTAGTGAATATCTTCGATCTTCTAATGATATTTTTATTTTTAGCGCGATACCGGTGGACCCTTGCAGGTTCACAATTGGAATTACACGGAAGGAAGCTTACTGATTGGAGTCACATCTATCGAGAAGCTCTGTAATGGCAAAAACGCTCCTGGACTTTACACGCGAATTTCCTATTACATCCCGTGGATCGAGTCCGTCATGTGGCCAGATCTCTAAACGCTTCTCTTCGCTTGATAAAGTTGATTTTTTTTTATTAAATTCAATGTCTTTACGTTTTTGCTTATATTCCGAAAAGTATGCACGATAAACTCATTTTTTAATAACCAAATTAAAGCTCAATATTCACTCTTTAAAATGTCTAAGCGTGAATAATTGTGTAATAGTTTTTTAGACGTAATACACTGTGATACTCAGTGGCAGATTAAGTACTTGAGAGGCCCTATGCGCAATTTAATTGTGAGGCCCTTCTCTAAATATTTGCAACTCAAATATTATTTAGTTAAAAAATGTATCAGCAGACATCCCAAGAAAAGAAATGTGAGAGCGGAGGGATTAGATCTCTTTGATTTGGGAGACCTCAGGTGCGCGCCTACTGCTCCTATGCACTAATCCGTTACTTGTGATACTTAAAGAAATATTTTTATAAGCTTCGATAAAGCAATGTCTTTACATTTTTGCTAATATCGCGAAAAGAAAGCGCGTACAGTTAATTTCTGAGCTACCAAATTAAAACTAAATATTACCTCTTTAAAATGTGTGTACTGGTTGAAGCGATTGTCATTTAGACGAAATTCATTGTCAAACCTTATATCTCGAAAAGTATGCATGACAAATTCATTGTTGAGCAACTTAATTAAAGCTAAATATTTATCATATATCTTTAATCAGAACTCGCACATATTGTTTATTAATTAATTTAAAATTCCATGATTATACATAGTGGTAGGTCTTCTGGAGATCGTGTTTAATATACATATCTATATGCTAAATGTTGCACTTGTACGTATTTTTTTTATTCTGTCTTAATTCGATAAATTCACTTCGAATTATATGTAAATAAGTTTTCTTGCTATGAAACCCAACAACATCCTGGGTATTCCCAAATGCGCAATTATTATTTAGTTGATTCGGATTAACTGTCGACTCTTGGGCAAGTGCACATCAAACTGGGAACATCGAAGAATTCCGAACACTCAGTCTCAAAATGATCATCACGAAAGATGTTACCGCTCTGCCATTCCTTCTACTTCTCTTCGCTATTTCCATACACGCGACAGCAATTTACTTCGAAGAAGGTACGATTTCTATATTTCAATCATTTTCTTATTATTTATACTATCAAGGTCGTTTTTCTATGACTATAACAACACAAAGCATAACCTATAACCATGAATCATAACACATACATGCATTAAACTTGTTTTGAATGAAAATAAATGCAATTTAATCAAATATATTAAAATTAATAAATAATAATTTAAAAAAAAATATAAAAAAGAAAACGTCCATCAAATGAAAATTCACGAATGATTTAATAGACAAAAAAATAAGGAGAATCATCATGAAAATATGATTTAAATAAAAAATCATCATATTGAGGATTAAACATATTAATTTGAAAAAAAACTTCAATAAAAAATACGAATAAACAAGTAAGAAATATGAGTCCCATTTTAATTTAACAGTGTTATTCGAGACTAAGGATCAATGGTATGGAATGAAGGACATTAAAAACATACAAAATATATTTTTACTATTCATTCCAAAAAAAACATAACTTTATTACATAAATAATTAATTTATTCACTTTGACGGAATATTGTTTCTCATGAACATTTTAAATATATTGCAAAGTTGGATTCTCTTCTTAGTTTGTATATGTTTATCAAAGAAGACTTGATCCTCTTTTTTTTTAAATGGGACTCTTATTTTCGAACAGTCTTTATGAAGTTTTATTAATTAACATGTAAAAGTTTACATGTTAAAGAAAAACATTTTTTTTTATTTTAAAACTTTCAAGGACGCCTTCTATCTAAAAAAACATTTTTGTTATATTTGGGAAAATTTAGTTTTTTGCTTTTAAGATAATCCTAATGATGCAAAATAATGAACTAGATATATTATATTGTAGATATAAGCGATTGTTGCGATGGGGAGACATGCATAGAGATAGGATTTTGTCCGAGCGCCATCGAAATTGTCAATAAAAGGCAGAAGCCAAAACCGTGCGGTTTCATCGGAAAGGTACCCTTCGTCTGTTGCCCAGACAAAGTTACAAATAATCCTATCTACATGGTACTTAACGTCGCTAATGCAGCATTACAAAGTAGAATAAATTCATCTGCATCATCAACAACAACTTCAACAATTACTACTACTACAACAAGTAGACCAATAGAAGTAGCATTGACTTTGAGCAATGATCCGATAGTTGTAGAAACAACATTTGCAAATACTGAAACGACACCAATTCTGAATCTACCACCATCAACGACCATTAAAAGTGCTGAATATGTCGTGGGATCCAAAGTTAAGCAACGTAAGAATGATTTTTTTTCTCTTTGTAAGAATTAATTAAAATTATAGAATAAAAAAACATATTTAAAACATAGTTAAAATAATCTATAGTCAAAGCATCTCACAAAATTGACGGTATAAACGTCAATTCTAAAGATGATGAATATTTTTTTGTGCAAAGCTTTAATATTGTTATAAAAAACTAAGTTTTTTGTTTTAAATTTAAGAATGCGACAAGACATTTGACAAATACCCCGTTAATAAATATGGAAACATCGTTTATACTTGGAGAGAAAAGCCTACTTTGATCGAAAATTCGCCACATGCGGTAAAGAAAACATTTGATTTAACAATTAGATTTCATGCTAGTTATTATTGATGATATCCGCAAATCATTTAATAAAAACTAAAACTTTTCTATTTATTTTCAGGCAGCCTTAGGTAACCAGCAAGGCGATAACATCGAATGGCTGTGCGCCGGAAGTTTGATCAGCGAGAAATTCGTATTGACCGCAGCCCATTGCATTGAAAAGTACATTTTTAAATTGGTAATATTTTTTTACATATCTCATTAACGATTCTTATTTTCAGCAATACAATTAATTACGTTCGTGTGGGCGATTCTAACTTGACTAGTAACACAGATAAACTCGATCCCCAAAACTTTACGGTTGTCAACGCAATTATGCATCCAAACTACACGAAACCACTTAGATATCACGACATAGGCGTATTGGAGCTGGACAAACCCATCATCGTTAACAAATTCGCAAAACCGGCTTGCCTTCATTTTAATGAAGAAATTACAGAAACCAACTTTAAATTGGTGGGGTTTAACGACAATAGTACGACTAATTATCTTTATACCATAATAGTTGGCAAAGCAAACAAGAGAGTTTGCAATTACCATTTCAATTTACCGATGTACAAAGAATTTTTACCGGACGGACCAGATTCCGAAACGCAGATTTGTGCTAGCGGTTATTTCAAATTAGGTCCTTGCCAGGTACATCTCAATCGGTGATTAGCAAATATTTTCGAACTAATAATATTTTTGTTTTCAGCGCGATACCGGTGGCCCCATGCATGTTGATAAATGGGGTTACACGGATGGAAAGTTACTGATTGGAATCACATCCATTGAGAAACTCTGTAATGGCAAAAACGCTCCTGGACTTTACACGCGAATTTCCAATTACATCCCGTGGATCGAATCCGTCGTATGGCCAGATATCTAAACGTTTCGTTTATCACCCCTTGAAAATTAAGTAATAACATAATAAAGTATTTTAAAAAACTTGTTGATTTGAATATGTTAAATTGAAATATTTTTGGATACAATCAAAGAAGTATTTCAGTCGATCGTTCTGACAATACCTAAAAAATGCAGTAATTACTTATGTAACCAACATAGCAATAATGTGTTAAAGTAAAAAGTTTGACTAACCGGAAAAGTAAATTATTAATTTAAAATACGATTAATTAAATGTAAATCTTAACTTTAAAGTCAACATTAATAGTATTAGATGATTAAATAATCAAACAACAACAACAAAAAAACTTAATGCAAAGTAATAATATGCAACTTTCGTTTTTTCTCATATTTTTACGTGCACATATCAATTAGTTTATTATAAATAAAATAGAAATAGCGGCGCAGACATAGAAAAGTTACTTGCATAACATAATTACAGTTTTATAAAAAATAGATAAAATTTAAATAACTTTATTGAATGTGTATTAAGATTCCCCTCGAATATATTACATAATCTATTAAATTATTATTACAAACATGGTGCGGTTGAATTTTTGGAAATGATATTGAATACATTTTTATATATTACTTGATATTTAGATAAAAATTTAAGAAAATTGTTATTTGTGTAGAACAACTCCACTATAGTACAAATAATGGATGTTATGTAATATAGATTGCTTATTAACTGGAAAATTGCAAATATTTATATAAGCATCGGTGGTTCAGTGGTAGAATGCTCGCCTGCCACGCGGGCGGCCCGGGTTCGATTCCCGGCCGATGCAATTTCTTTTATGATTCTTTCATTGAAATTGTTGTTAAAGTGTAAACAATTGTGCTTTTTTTATAGACTAGCTATAGGCTATCAAAACAATTACAATAATCCTCGTCGAATATCTAATTTTGATAAAAAGGATACTCGTATTAACCAAATTGAAATGGTGCAGTTAATGTAATGAGGATTTAATCATCACAAGTGCCAATTCATTATTGGTTTCCAAACATAAACAAGCGTAGATAAAATCAATACGAAAATAAAATGTTTAGTATATGGAACATATGCAATGTGGGGAGGACCTTGAAATGAACTATGAACCTTGCGGCCGTAAGAGAAACCTGTTGAATGCGCGTTCAGAATTTTCTTGAAAAACGCCAGTCGATTCGGTCGGTGCACGATGGATCGCATTCTCAAAGGCATCATGAAGTACAGACAGCTGGGGAAGAAGACGATGGTCGAACAGTTCAAGGAGGTCAAAGACAACCCGATTGTAAGTCAAGCACGTTTCATCCAACGCCATTTTTAATAGATCAAGAGACTTAAGTACGCACGTTTATCCCGCGAACGAGCGCGCGCATCCCTCGCTTCCGTCCTCGTTTGCCGCGCTTCAAATCTGTTTTTCGATTTTTCAGCCGAAAGCAGTTTTCTTCACTTGCATGGACAGCCGAATGATACCCACCAGGTTCACGGAGACAAACGTGGGAGACATGTTCGTAGGTAATTCGAGAAAACTGAAGAATTTAAAATTCTCATAGTTTTCCGTGTTTGAAATCGTTGTTGATTGCAGTGAGGAATGCAGGAAACATCATACCGCACTCGCAGCACTTCATGGACGAGCTCACCACCAATGAGCCGGCAGCTTTGGAACTGGGATGCGTCGTCAACGATATCAAGCACATTATCGTTTGCGGACACAGCGATTGCAAAGCCATGAACTTGCTGTTTAAACTACAAGATAGTGAATTTGCATCACAGGTAAATCAAATTAGATTGCACTTCTAAAACTTCAAAAGAGATTCCCTAAAATTTTTGAAAATTAATTAATTATACGCAAAAATCAATTAAAACAAGTAAATTTATTATCGCTCAATTATAAATAATAATAATGAAAATGAAAGCGCAAAGATTAATTACCAATTTTGGGGCATTCTCACCACTGAAGAACATTGAATATTTTATTTCATCTTCTTCCATGCCTCACTAAAGACTTTCTTTCTTGCTGGTAATCATCACTTCACACTCCATTCAAACAAGTAAACAAACAAATACTGTCTTAAAAGTCTACAATTTTCTTAAATGAATATTATTTAAAAACCACGTACATTTTAATAGTAAAGTAGATGGCGCAATGATAATTTGACAAACCAATAATGACATTTCATGACAGGCATTACAAAATAACTTAAAAATCCAATTCGATTTTTATACTTTCACGGTATATACTAAATCACCTCATAAGATCATAAACTTAACGTAATAATTTACGTATTCACATAATTCATTTTTAAAGTATTTAATCGCGTCTTCGTTAATCACTGATATTATTTGTAGTCAAAATAGTAGTATTTGCATCCTAACAGACTTTGGTCAATATTGTTATCATATTAGCACACTCGACTAAACTTGAAGCAAACAAATAATAATGCAAATTAACATCATTGGTGTCGTATCTCAAATAAAAAGTAAACAATTTAATGAGTTGGAGCATTGACCCACTTAACACTAGATTGTTAATAACATTAATTATACGTGTATTAGCAGATTTTTTTATTGCATAAATTTATGTAACAAGAAAGTTAAGATTTGTGATTAATTTACCAAATATAGACAAAATAAATAGAATAACATTTTCTGTGATACAATAGAAACGTCTTTTTAAAGTAAACAAATGTCAAAAATGAACTACTACCAAATATAATAACTTTAATTTTTTTACTGTAATGAATTGCATTATCTTTAGGAAAATAGAAGAATTTCACCGCTTCGTTCGTGGCTTTGCACGCACGCACTAAGCAGCTTGGAGAAGTTCCAACAATTAGAAATCACCGACTACTCCAAACCGCTTCTTTTCCAAGGCGAAACACCACTTAGAAAATTCGTAGCTTACATAGATCCTGAAAATAAATTCGCCTTAGAAGATAAACTGTCGCAGATAAACACCTTGCAGCAGTTGCAGAATATCGCGAGTTACGGATTCCTGAAGAAGCGTCTGGAGAAGCACGAGCTGCACATCCACGCCCTTTGGTTCGACATTTACACTGGAGAAATTTACTATTTCAGCAGAGGCTCGAAGACTTTCGTACTCATCGATGAACACAACATAGACGCTTTGGTGGGCGAAGTAAAGAAGTACTATTCTTAGAAGCATTTTTAAATAATTGTATCAAGCCAAAGATAGATAATAAGATTTATTTATTTCGATCTTTAACGGCAATTAGGATGTTTTTTTTTTAACTACTGCCAGTTTTTTTTTTAATATTTATTATATCTATATCAATTGTTGTTTTATATATATATATATAATGTTGTTATATACTTTATACTGTAACTTTCCCCTCGAATGTGATAAGTCGAAATAAACATATGCATTGTTTTATACTATCTAAATAATAATATTGAATATTTATTGACTTCTTACCTAGATTGATCTTTCATTAAAATACATATTTTCATTATATTTACAAAATAGTAATACAGATTTCAGACCTTATATTTCAAAATATTCTTATTTATATTGTAAATCATCGTTTTCTTTTAATCTGTTTACTTTATTTTTTTAAAAGAATAATTTTGTCTAGACGATTCGAATATGGAATAACATACCATAAATATGTTATTATAATTTGAAGGATTTTAAAAGATTCATCTTAAAGTTGACCTTCAAAGTTACAATGAAAGTAATGTGATATATTCTTTCAAACCATTGAGATGAAAAGTAAAACAAGGAAATAGATCTAGAGATCTTGAACAAAAAGAAATAAACGATCAAATTGAATTTCGCGGTCATTTATGAAAGAAAAATAACATAATTCCAAATATTTATACTAATAATTTGTTTATTTTAATCTGTTTAAGCATGAAAGAATAGGTCATTTGCATAAGTAATTGCTGAGAAGTGGTGGGAGATGACGGAGACTATTGATTTAATAATCTGTATTCGGGGAATTTTGTGTTTCCACCAGTCGCAGTTGGCAATGGATGTGCAAAACAATAAGGCGGCGTAATAATAGGATCTTTTATTGAAAAAGTAAATACCGGCAATAATTTGTGTATTATTAGTACTTCCGCGTTGTTCGATGTTATGAAATAGTGTTGTTTATAGGGAGTGCAGTGATTGTGAGTGCTGGAATATTGACCGAAGGTGGCAGTTTTGAATTGTTCAATAGTATTAAATGGGCCGCAAGTGCAGCGTTAAAGGTTGTTTGTCGGATTCGCAACGCCGCGAAGATTTGGGGGTTACATTTCACAGGGTACCACTTCACCCCGATATAAGACCCAAATGGTTCCTATTATGTCAAATACCGGAAGAAAAGAAGGTCGCCTACGTCTGCTCGAGACACTTCTTGAGAGCGGACTTTTGTAATTTCAAAGGAAAAAAGTACATGCTGCGACAGGGCGCTCTTCCAAGCATATTCCCATGGAACAAACCCAAGCCTAAACCTATACCATTGCTAGTAACGAAACTGCTTTCTGAAGAAAATGAAAGTACCAGTACTGAGCACACAGAGGACACCAATGAAAGCATACCAGAAGAGAACAAAGAAGTAGATCTAGAGAAAGAAGAAGCAGAAGATATGAAACCTGATGCATCGACTGCTGCAGAGACTGCAAAGGAAACCAACATCATGCAAACTGTAGAGGACACTGTAGAAATTAAACAAGAAATATTGAACACCAACTCGGCTATTGAGCAGAAGATCACTGTAAAAACATCCACTGGCTCATTGACATTTGCTCCAAATGCCCGCATTGAGGCCCTTGACTTTAATCAAACTTGGAGCCCAGCCACAATCATAGAGGTTGACTATGTGGAAAATGAAGTGCTGGTCCACTTTGATTCCTATAGCAACAAGTATGATGAGTGGATTGGCATCAACAGCTCTTCAATCAGGGCCCTTAATGATGAGCCACAGACCAAAGCTCAGGTGTTCAATGTCAGTGAAAGATGTATGGCATGCTGGAATGATGGAAAAAAATTCAGTGCAACAATAACAAAAAAGTTTGATGACAGTAAGTATAAACATATGCATGCATTTAAAAAAAAAACTTACATAATTGAAACCAGATGGAGCTGTGTGTTCCAAAGCCAAGATATTTTTACTTTCTTAAGTTAGTTTATAATCCAACAGTAATAGAAAGTAGATGAAAACAAAAACTAATTAGTATTTTTCATTGATGCATATATCAAAAATGTACTTCCTATCTGGCCAATATTTGTTCTGATAAGATAAATTTTCTAGATACCTATGATGTTCTATTCGATGATGGGTATTCAAGAGTGTTGAAGGGCCACAAAATATCAAAATGTTTATCCCAGCCCTTGCATCAGAGTCCCTTGTTTGAACCTGCAAAGGGCACCAAGGAGGAGCGAAGGAATAGAAACAGAAAAATTAATGTTGCAAATTTATTCAAGAAAAGAACCAGAACTTCCAGCCAAGAATCAAACGAGGAATCATTAGGAGCCATGGATGCCAGAGAACATGATAAGAATGATATGTGGATACCAAGGTATGTACTTAAAAGGAAAATTGTTTTTGAGGTTATGTAAGTAAATATATCTGTAGTTGGAGTAATGGAAAACCAGTGGGAATAGAATCTCAATTGTCTATGCTAGATGGATTCAGACCTTCCGTGATTGTACCTGACCCAAAGTTACCACCAAAATGGGAAAAGCATCTGGTCCAAAGGATGTATGGTATGTCTGCGGGCAAATGGACAAGCATTATTTTATCGTAAGTAATAAGACAACTTAAGTTAAGTGAAAGTGTATTAACTCAATGTCATTTGAAGGCCTGATGGTAAAAGGTTGAGATTTAAAGCGGATGTTGTCAAGTACTTGGAAGAGAATCCTCACTTAAATTTGAAGGAAACCATGTTTGATTTTGTAATATCCAAGAAAGGCAAAAAAAGGAAATTAACAGACTCATCTGCAAATAGTCATTCAGCTGCAAGCACTACAACCACGCCAACTATAGCTTCATCACATGCTACAACTCCTTCTACCGCACAAACACCAGCATCACCAAAATCGCCTCACACGGAAGAAACTCCTGAAAAGATTAAGAAACCTTTGGTACAAATACTCTACGAAAATGGTGCTTATTTGTGCCCAATCGATGGGTGCGGCAAGAATTTTAGACGCGAAAACTTGGCTTTGATGCATGTTAAGCATTACCATCCAAAATACTCGAAGTTCTTGGATTCTACGCCGAACGTTGCGGACTTGGCATATGCCAGAACCGTTGGCGAGAGTTTAGACAGGTCACCTATTTCGGAGAAATCATATAAAGTTACAAAATCTAGGATATCGACACCAAAAATCAAGCAAGAATCATTGACAGATGAATCTGTTAAGGATACAGAAATTATTAAATTACTTACTAGTAAGCCGTTTGAAACGGCTGAAAGTGTAGAGACAAGTTCGAATGATTCGCAGGTGCCGCCAATTAATGGAACACCAATCACGAACTATCAAGAAATAAAATTGAAAGATCTTTTGGTGAAATCAGATGATATTGATTGTAACAAACCTGCTGGTGCAATTTCTGGCAAAACGGCTGGAATAAAGACATTATTGCCTGTAAAGAAGGAGGATCCACGGAAAGAAACTCCACGTAGAAAGCGAATTTCTGAATCGGTGGATTCGCCAATGATGATGATGAAAGAGGTCAAATTGGAAGAACCTTTAGAGGTTCACCCTTCACAGCAACCACCTCCTCCGGATAATAATATTATTATCGAAGGTAAGAACGCGATTAAATGCTGCGCACAAAACAAAAACTATGACGCTGTTATTTGACGATTTGTCAATCAATCAAATTTTGTTCGTAATTTTACAGGCGGAGAAGTCATCAAGATTGTCCGCATGAAACAGGAAGAAATTATTAATTGTACTTGCGGTATAACTGAGGAAGATGGACTGATGATTCAGTGCGAGTTGTGTTTGTGCTGGCAACATGCTTACTGCAATAACATCCAGAAGGAGAACGAAGTACCGGAGAAGTACATATGTTACATCTGCCAACATCCGGTTAGGCAACGGACGTCAAAGAAGTACATGCACGATCAGGATTGGCTTAAACATGGCACCCTGCCATCGGCATCCTATCATTGCAAAGACGAGGAGAGTCAGAAGGCGACGTTTGAACGACTTAAAACCTCGCACGACTTGAGCGGAGGTTTGCTGGAACTGAAAGACTTCATGCACTCTCTGAAATTGAAGATAAAGATTGCTGAGTAAGTTCAATACTTCGATATTCTATGTTTCAAACTACTATAACGAATTTTGTCTATACGTAGTGCATATACTTTTAGATCTATTTCGTGTTAAGTGATTAAATTGATTTATCTGTTATGCAGGATCAAAAATCACCCAAAGTTATATTTATGGAGTAAACCATGGGATAAGTTACCGCTTCCGGAGAAGGATTCGGCAAAAATCAAGGACGAAAAACCAGCGATGGACTCGGAGTCTTCAATGTTAATGTCGCTGCTGAAGTCTCCAAACAAGGACGACCTGAAAACCGATTTCCCCAAAATCGACCTGAACTCTTTGATCGAGAACAATTTGGAGGCGCTGCAGGGGATTCCCCAGCCGGAAGCTGCCATCGAATCGGCCGACTGCAAGATCAACTTACTGGAACACATTGCGCATTGCCAGAATCTGATCGAGGAGAGGCTCAACACGTTCGAAAAGCAAATTAACGATCTGGACCCTGCCTCAATTAACGACAACGACACAGATTATACCAGGATCCGACATACCACGAACATGCTTTTGAAAGATCTTAATACTCTTAAAGAGTTCTCGCAGATCACCACGTTTTAATCACTTATTTTAATCGTTGTATTATTGAATAATCGTTATATCAATTATAATCAGTGAAAATAGAGATATATATATATTTTGTTTAAAAGAATAAATAAAACTTTTATTGATATTTACGTTTATTATTTACCCAAGAAAAATAAATTTTAAAACCTTTTCATTGAATTTCTATTGCCAGTTTCCACATAATTCAGGAATTTACTTGAATTATCAATTGCGTAAAATCCATTGACAACATTTCTATTTAAATAATATCCTCTGCTTTTCAACAAAAAAAAAAAAGTTTCTCTCGGTTATAAATATGCAAGTGGAAAGCCTCGAGCAGATGTTTCTTTTTCTCAAATTGTATAATCCACCTTTCCGATGCGGCATTTCGTAACGTAACGCCGCTGACCTAGTGATATGTACAAAAAAAATAACCGGACATGCTTTTCGCAGGAAAAGTTTTCCGCTGGATTTGGCCAAAGAGAAGAGAAACCTGCGAGACGATCATCTGCTAGACAATATTAGTGTTGATTTTTTTGCCCCGCTCCGCCCAGAGAAATCCAAGAGAAGACGTTATCTTGAAATTTCCTTGCATTCAGACCTAATTCGAGAAAGAAAATCAAATCGAACTTAATTTTTAAACTTTCCCGATCGCTAATGAAAATTAAATACGAAAGCCAACTGATGTGAAAATCCGATTTCCATTCGCTTTTCTATTTCAATTAAATCATAAATATTACCAAAAATTGTATGTTCTTTAATCAATTACAATTGTTTTATTTATGTTCGTTGAGGCAAATTCAATTTGAGCAATGAACAACGATAATTGTGATTTGAATACGTGATGATGCGAGAATGGATGTGGAAGCAAAAATCCTCCGCGTCTAAGAAACGTGCGTCAGCTTCGATCCCACCCAGCGAAAGCTTTTTCTTTGTGTGTTTTAGTAGGGGTTCCATTTTTTCGGAATGGGGAAAAAATGTGGCAAAGGTTATAAATAAATGACCAAGATTTGTTTCGTTATCATCAGTCGGCGCCGTGAAAGTAAACCAACAACGAACAGGGAAAAGAAAAAGTCTCAAATCTCTTCGCCTGCTAACATTGAACTTGTTTCTAATTACAATGCGGACGTGCGAGGTAATACAATTAATCATTAAGTTAAACTGAATAGTTAATTTTGTTTACTTTCCAGAAGACAACCCTCTGGCTGCTGTCCATCCTAATCTCATGCAATTGTTTACCGAGCAACTACGATTTCAAAGTAACACCAGAACAACCCGAATATGTAAGTAGTTTCATTATACATTTTTTTTGTAATAATTTTTTATGTATTTGAAATCTTCAATTTAATGAATGACCTAAAACACACTAAAATTTGATTTTAACTTAATATCATAATTCAAACTTATTTAAACTCAAAATAATAACTTTATTAACAAGTTTAAATAAAAGTATGTAAATTAATAAAAGTATAACTTTAAAAAAAAAGTTTTACAATGAAATCTACTGCTTTTCAATAAATAATTTATTAAATGCAACAATAGTAAGTTTTATAAAGTTTTAAATAATTTCATCTAATTGATACTAGAAATTACCAATTAGTTGTATCTCATACATTTTATGCATAAATTTAATTATAAATATAAGAACAAGAGAAACTTCTTTTTTTAAAGCTTGGAAATAATATTTTAAATTCTATTTGGAAATATGCTTGAAATCATTGAAGGTTTTACTAAAATAAAACCATTTCACCAGATTAATTTATTTATGTATATAGAATTGTTATTTTTGTTATTGTTAATTTTGGATTTATTTTATGTTTATGTTATGCTCTTTTTATTTTATATTATTATTATAAATAACAATTAATCTATTTATAATAAATATCTACAGTAATTACTGTAAAATAATAATGATTAAAAGGAAAATTAAATTACGTTTTGTTAAAATTGGATTATTAATTGCTATCATGCAAATAAGGATACAAATACTTAGAATAAGGAAGTGTGCATTAATATAAGTGAATTTGCAATGAATTTATAAAAAATTGAGAAATATCCAATTTTATTTTTCTTCTTTGTGAAAAGTAGTTGACTCTCGATAAACGTTGGTGAAAATGAAAGCAAATTCAAATTGAAAACGTATGAAACATCTGGAGTAATCATCGTTTAGATACAATAAAAAGAATTTCTTAAATTCGAATGATTTAAAATTGATTTATATACAGGTTTTCCCCGATTTACGAACTAGTTTCGTTCCAAAGGGTTGTTCGTAAGTCGGGGGAATATTAAAAATTTCAAAATATACTTATCTTATCACACTTTATCATGATTTTTACTTTTATATATGTTAAGTTCCGTATTACTGACTGCAGACATTTGAAAAAATAGATTAAAATAAACAAAATAGTTACTTACAAATACTTTTCAATGTAGACATCACAATTATTTAGTACATCTTCCAAAAATATTATATTTTATTAAAGAAATTATCAATTTTGTTTGGACAGTTAATTTTTTATCACTATATATCTCCTTGTAACTAGTTAGAGCTTTTACAATTTTGTTCGTAAGTCTGGGAGTTCGTAAGTCGGGGGATACCTGTACTATATATTTTGTAGATAATTGTAGAATAATAATAGTTTAATATTGATTGAACTTTAATAACAATATATAATAATTGTTATTTCATCATTTTCTCATAGTTTTTGAAAGAATGATTAGATATGTTAATTTTCTTACAAATCAATGAACTTTTGACATATTCAATATCAGAATTTAGTAAAATAGATTTTTCAATTTACTATAACTATTGAATAAACAAGTTTTAACAATTAATTAAACATAGAACAGTCTAATATGGATATTTTCTTAAATGTCTAGAACTAAATAAATTATGTAAACTTCATTATAACGCATTTAATTTCTACAGCGTTATATGGAAACCACGTTGTAGGAGACTTTACTGTATACATAATTTGGTTACGACACAATATTTTCTTTTATAATTATCTGCTTTCGGTATGTTAAATTCAATGCTGATGATAAATAATTGAATTAATGTTTTAATCATGATTTCTTTTTACTATAAATTTCTTCATTAAGTTGATAAGTACTGTAATTGTTTCGAGCGGTATCTTTTAAGTAGGATAATCTGTACAGAATTAATCAGGTGTTATTTCTTGTCCGGTAGAAAGTATTTCATTATATTTATATTGTGTAGAATTTCGATGTTAACGCCTGTAATTTTAATATCTGCAATAAAAAAGAAGAAAGTGATTTGCGTATGTCAGATGGCAAATACGTGAGTAATACCTAAAACACGTGAAATCTCTTCGTCGATGAAAGTGCAAGTGTCTCGTATTTCACCTTCCGACTTGCATGCATCGTAAATTTTTCCTTGCACCGATAGAAAGGATTCGAGTTCAAACGGAACACGTACCGCATTGCATTTTGCAAACGGACGTCCATAATTATTGTATCTCGACATCACAATAATTATCGGAGTGCGATCGGCTCAGATTGGAAGCGTGACTTCCTTTCTCTCGAGCGCGCCTGTTTAATTTACGACTTGACATCGAAAATGGTTTAAGCAATTTCTAATGCATGAAAATGAAATAAAGAGGAAAATGGTCTGCCCCATAACAGAATGAGCGTCTGCGCGAAAGTTTCGAATCAATTAAAACGCGAAAGTCGGCACACGATCCGATTTCCCACCGCTTCAGATTGTTTACCAAAAAAAAAATAATATCGTCTTCTTCTGCTGCAGGACAACCAGGACTATAGTTTCAGCTACGGCGTCAAGGATCTGCATACCGGGGATGTTAAGCATCAATGGGAGAAGAAGGATGGTGATGTCGTGCACGGACATTACACTCTTCTCGAAGCCGATGGATCGGTGAGGACGGTGGATTACACGGCGGACGAGAAGAGCGGCTTCAACGCTGTCGTCAAGCATAAAGGACCCTCGTATCATCCCAGTCCGAAACAAGCGTCCAGTCACAACGAGGTGTCTTTAAAAGTCGAAGAGACACCTGCTAATATCGAGCATTACAAAACTGTGACGAAAACTATCAAAACGGAACCGGATTACAACGATGTTTACAAGCCTTCCTACATTTTAGTTCAAGAAGATTCTGATAAGGAAATAGGGGAACCACCGCACGAGGAAATCGTGTCCACTTACTCCAATCACAAATCAGTTTACACGCACAAACCTATACAAAAAATCCAAACGATTCCCGTCGATTTATCCCTTCTAAAGCCGTTGAAGCAAAGACCGGTCGTCATCGATCTGAGAAACGTCACTCAGAATTACCAGGAGCACCAGGACGTGCACCAAGCGGAGGAAACTAATGAAGAAGGAGAATCAGCCAACATCGAATTTTCCTATCCCGAACCGAACATCGAGACTGGATTCAAACCTCTCCAATACACACCATCAACTAACAACAATTACCAACAACAATTCGTAATCCCCAATACTTACCTGTCCAATAAGAAGCCGATGACCACGCCCGGTCTGCAGAACTACGCGAGCGACATCATCAACGGAAGACCCAAATTTCCAGTTTATCGAGTGCAACCGAAACCGGGGCCGATTCAATTCCCGAGATTGACGGAATATCGTAAGCAAAACAGGAAGGAAAGGCCGCACACCAAGAACGTCATCAAGTATACGAAACACTTCCCATACTGAGAGCAACAATCTTTCTTTTTAATTATTTATTTAAAGTGCAATATGTTATCTAGTTTTTAACAATAAAATTAATATTATTTAATTTTACGTACTTCTTTATACATAATCTTCCTCTCAGTCATATCTAACATCAAATTAATTATCCTCTTCTAAAGAAATTCAGTTTCTTAGAACAAGTTTTTTAATAATCAGTAAATATTGTTCCTTTATGTAGAAACTTGATTTTATTTCCAAAATTAATATTCTTAGTTCGTCTTAGTTAGTATTCATAATTAAAGGTTAAAAAATCTTGTAAATAAATTCCTCTCTAAAAAATAAAATTAATTATAAGTAATTATAACAGTTAAAATATTTGTGTTAGTAATAGATTACATAAATGTTATTAGTTTATAAATGCAATTAGGGTCTGCAGTGGTTCAAGTAGCGTGGATACAAGCAGACTTCGCGGATGTGGTAACGATTGAGCAGCCAACAAACAAATCTCTCCAATCCAAGACCGTAGCCTCCGTGTGGACAGGAACCGTATTTGCGTTGATCAATGTACCAGGAATAAGGTTCCGGATCGATTCCTTCTCTCTCAAAACTGAAAATAAAAATATAATTTATATAGATGAAAAGGACAATAGCTTAATTATAATACCCTTTCATCAATTCCTCGAGATCCCAAATCCTCATTGACCCACCGACGATTTCTCCGACATTCGGCAACAGAATATCCACGCTTTCCGTCAACCTATTATCCTCCGGGCATCTGGGCATGTAAAATGACTTGATTGCTGCAGGAAAACGGCACAGCATAATCGGCTTGTTGATCTGATCGGTCATCTTGCGTTCGGGCATCTCCGGAATGTCTTCGCCAAACTCGTAGAAGCTTCCATCCTCTTTGATGATGTTGTGCTTCTTCAAATACTCAATAGCGTCCGTGTAGTTCATGCGCATGAAGGGCTTTTGGGGCACCTTGAAGTCGGGGTTCAACTCGTAAACGACGTGACCCCACGGAGATTTCAATACGCGGTCGACGACATCGCAGATCAAGTCTTCGAGACGATCCAGAAGATCTTCGAAAGAGATGAACGGACATTCAGCTTCGACGTGAGTGTATTCGGCCAAATGTCTCCTCGTCCTGCTCTGCTCCGCCCTGAAACTCTCAGCGATGCAGTAGACATCTCCCATAGAAGCGAGACAGGTTTCCAAATAAAGTTGCGAGCTTTGCGTGAGATACGCCTCTTCGCCGAAGTAGTCGAGTTTGAAGAGTGTGGAGCCGCCTTCCACTTGCGTTTGGACTATCGAGGGAGGCGTTACCTCGCAATATCCTCTAGACATGTAATGATCCCTGAAAGAATACAAATAATGAGCACAACAATTATTATTAGAAATTATTTGAACGAAACCTGAAAGCTTGTAGCAAAACTGATCTCATCATGAGCACCTTCGAAGTGTTTTCGCCGCGGATCATGATGTGTCTGTTTTCGGCTTGAACGTCCGGTAGAGCCTCCTCGTTGAGGATAGCATCCGCACCTCCTGCTGGAGCCAAGCCCACAAGCTCCCAATAATCAACGTGCAATTCATGGCCTCCAGGTGCCTAAAACCAACGATTCAATTAACTCTCGCATCGTTTATATTTCAGCTTGAAATTACGTTTTTGCCCTCGGGAATTTCCTTGATGTAACCGAAGAATTTCACAGAAGATTCAGTGGACAGAACGACGGCATTATACGTCTGACAGAGTAAATCGTTGAGAACGCACTGAAGGAAACCCGAACCATCTCTCAGCGTTATGAACATCAAATTTTTACCTTGACGTCGAAGCCTATGCACCCATCCGTAAATTGTCACCCTCTGGCCTCTGTGCTTCTTTCCTGAAAAAATAATTAACATTTTATTTGTTATTTCATACTCAAAGATTTTTCTCAATAAGACAAAACAAATCACCCACCTTCAATTATTTTAATTCTATTTGCGACAGGCAAAGATTTATCCTCCTTGATGACAATCCTCTTGGCCTCTTCAAGGTTCTTGTTTCTCTTCTCCTCGTCATCCTTCTCTTTCTTAAGCTTATCCTCGGACTTGCATTGCTCTTTGACAAAGAGCTTGAAGACTTTCTTCAGCTGCGATTTTGTGGCCGGTTCGAACTTGACACCTTCATTTCCATCAACGTAAATCACCGGAAAAGGCTCTCCTCCAGCTTTGAGCATGGCTTTCAACACAGTCTTGAATGGCTTTCGCTGTGTACCATCGCCGCTTTCGTCGCTTCCGACTTTCTCGGAAGTGTAAATACCTATTCAATATACACATATTAGATGACAAAATATATGTGAAACTTATTGAGACTCGCCTATTTGCAGAACTCCAGACATGTTTATTATATTTTCAAGAAGCTAAAACTCGACTGATGCAATAATTTGCGAATCTTGCTATATATGCAAAGACTCGTATAATTGCTAATAGTATTACTCATATATTACTCATATTACAGGAGCGGATTTAGGCCTGATCCTTATGGACCTAGGATTTTGTTCAATATGTATGGGGGCCTAAACACTGTTTGCTTAGGTAATTTTGAATAATGAGAAAAAACAGGTAAGATGTTTTTTATGATTAAAGAAGTACTTTTATAAAGATTTGAAATTTAAAAAATCGGACTGGAAAGAGTTAATACAAGGCCTGAAAATAGATTTAGCCCAGTACCCCCAAACGGTTTTAGCACAGAGCTCCAGAAGCTAACGGTCCGACTCTGTCACTTAGGGTTTTCCAATGACCTGACCTTTGACTAATATTCTATATTATCAACGAAGAGAATATTTTCAAAAACTTATTAAATTTGCTTTTATATCAATAATAATGAATCAGTAATTAAATTCGATAATAAAATATGGAATGTAAATTGTAACAGGAACAACATGTTATTCCAAACTTGAACTGTAATAACAACTAATATTAATAAATACACAACGCAAGAATAATTATTGTAGTCTGTAAATGTTTTCTATTTAACCCGAAAACCGTTCTATTTCTGTTTATTTACTATTTATATATTTATCTTTAAAACTAAGAAAAATCAACAATGCGAAATTTCTTACATCATAATCAGTTTTATTACATTATTTGCACTTAAAAAAAAAGAGTTCTTGAACAGATAATATGTTGTTTGCGTAAAATATCATAGTTATTAATAGGATTTAACAAATAATGTAATTACAAAAAATAACAGTATCGCATAATCATTTAAATCCATGTTAAGGTAATGCAATAATCCTCATAGATTTAGATTCCTAATACGTCTATAAAATATGATAAAATAAGTATTAATCAATAATTATATATTTATAAATATTTTCATTCATTTATTTTAAATTTATAACAAATATTGAATAAGAGGCAAAAGTTATAGCAACTGTTTTTAAAAATCGAAGATTCATTTTAACCTTAATGACCTTAAGTTATTTTAAATTTACTAATTGGAATCCAATACATTTAAACATTTTCCTAATTAGTATGTAGGCAACTTTATCTTTTGCCATTTTTGAAAGCCCGCATTATTTTCTTGGCTTAAATAATTTGAATAATAAATACAATAATGTAATTTATATACCTCATCATTATCAATACTTGTAGTATTATACAGAAAAAATTACGTTTGAATATAAAAATGAATGCAACACACTATACATGTTTACCTTTTCTCGCAATTGTACACAACCATGTGAAATAATGTGATGGAACTGGAAATTTGTCTACAGTTCTTGATTAAATTCTGTAATTTTCATTAGCTACCAATCCTACAATAGATTGGAATTGTTAATTGCAAAATAATTAGCTACAACTAATTGTTTGACAATTATTTCTATTGAAAATATTTAACATTTAATCAACAGTTTATTTTAGTTTATACAATAAATAAAACCTCAAACAAATGGGTGTTCATGGTTTGTGGAGGTTGATAGAACCTTCTGGGAAACCAGTGCCTTTAGAATCCTTGGAGAATCGTGTACTGGCAGTGGGTATCCTTTTCTAACCTGCCTAAACTATAAACTGTTTAGTTGATATATGAATTTCCTTAATAAATTGCTAAGATGTTTCCATTTGGCTGCACCAAGCAATCAAAGGTTTCCAAGATGCCAAGGGGGCTGCAGTACCAAATGCCCATCTCCTTGGCATCTACCACAGGGTTTGTAAACTGCTCTACTACAAAATAAAACCTGTGTTTGTTTTTGATGGTGGAGTTCCAGTTCTGAAGAAGCAAACTATTGTGAGTGAATTGATTTTCAGTTGATAGTTTATAACATTATAATTGATTTCAGGCTAAAAGAAATCAACTGAAAGCCAAGCACTTAACAGATGCCAGTCGGATTCAAAAGCAACTCTTGGATACATTGCTAAAGCACTCTGCTGTGAATAAAGTGCTTTCAGAGAAAACCAAATCAACATTGCCTGTTGTCAAAAGTGGGTCCAGTCAGAAGACAGATGGAGATAATCTATTTAAATTACCGCCCGAATTGGATTCGACTATTTCTTCTAGCGATGAAGATGAATATGCAAGCTCCTCATTTACCTCAGATTCCAGCCCTACCAAACATTGGGATTTGCATAACATCGATGAAAAATCCGCTGAATTTAAAGCTTTACCGGCGGATGTTCGGCACGAAATCTTGACCGATCTGAAGGAAACGCGTAAACAGAATTCTTGGGGTCGAATACACGAATTGCCTACACAGAGTGATGAATTCTCTGGTTACCAAATGAAGCGTTTATTAAAAAGGTACTCGGTGCAGACGTCTCTGGAAGACGCGGAAAAGGAAATGGGTGGACACACTTTATCCCTCGGGGAATTGGAATCTCTTCTAAACGATCACGGCGTTATAACGCAAGATTCTTTAGGAAAACGTATAGCTTCTGACGAGAACACCCGATATTTGTATATTAAGGATGTCAAGAAGGCACTGGAAACCGCGCGATTGGAAGCTGTTAAGGAAGAAACTGAATCAAATGATACAAAAATCGAAGAGATTAAACAAAAACCAGAAGAATCGAAGGATACAAAAATCCAAGAAATTACCAAAGATGCCGTTATAATTAATAGTGAAACACTCAATGGCGATGATGAAGAATTGGAGCATGATCAAGAATTTCAGGAAGACATGCAAATGGCTATAGCTTTATCGCTTGAAGAGCAACCATCGACTTCCAAAGTTGTGGCTGAACCTCGTGACAACACCATACCAGTAACACAATCTACAGCGTTTTCTGCTGCTATTGGGTACATGAAGGAATACAGTGGATTGACGCCTTCGGGAATTAGTGAAATTTTCAATGGTAATCTGAAGAGCAAAAAAGATGAAACCATTAAAGCTCCAATAGCGAAAATTGCCGATGATGATGATGATCAAGTAATCTTATCGGAAGATTCAGAATCTGAATCGGAATTTATAGATGTTTCCGATAACGAAAGCAAAGAAGAAAAAATGGAAATTGTTATTGATAAGATCGAACAATTGGAAGACGATTTGTTCAGTGATGTCTTTGATAACGAAGATAAAAATAAAGATAAAGCGGTTGAAATAATCGAGAACAAGGTTATTTTGAACTCTGTCGAAGATTCGGAAACGCAACGTGAAATTGTTACTGTTATTAGTGATGAATTCAAAAAGGATGTTGAGAGTAAGGATATGAAAATCGTTGAAGCAAAAGATGTTGAAATAGGGAAAACTGAAACACTGTTAGTTCAAAAAACTGAAGAAGTAACAGAAAAGCCATCCATTGAAAAAATGCCACCAGTTGTGAAATTAAGTAGCGAAGATTTGCAGAAAATGGAAAAGAAGTTGGCTAGTGAGAAGAATAACTTGATTAGTGAAAGGTCAAGCAAAGAGAGGTTGGCTGGAAATATCACAGATCAAATGTACCAAGAGGCACAAGTAAAATTTTAATCACATGTACCATTAATTGATTCGTAATTTCCTTTTTTCTTATGTTTTATTCAGGAATTGCTTCAATTATTTGGAATACCTTACATCATTGCTCCAATGGAAGCTGAAGCCCAATGCGCTTTCCTCAATGAGATCAATTTAACTGATGGCACCATAACAGACGATAGCGATATTTGGTTGTTTGGTGGGAAGATTGTCTACAAGAATTTCTTCAATCAAAGCAAACGGGTTATGGAATTTCGTTCCGAAAATATAGAACACCACTTTAGTAAGTTTCATTCAGTTTAACTCATTTCTTTTATCTAAGAGTGACTTAAAATTTTACAGAACTCAGCAGACAACAAATGATTCTGTTGGCTCTCCTCGTTGGAAGTGATTACACCGTTGGAATCTCAGGAATCGGGCCTGTAACGGCGATGGAAATTTTGGCCGCTTTTCCACCAATGCAATTTTCGTATCCACAGTTGATATCGGGTTTAATCGATTTCAAAACATGGTTCAACAACGGAAAAGTTGCTGGACCAGGTTTGTAAAAGTGAACAAAAAAATAATAAGATCTTTAATTGAGAAATGTATTTTGTTTAGCGAGAGCAGGTTTAAGAACTAAATTGAAGAACGTGGATTCTATGGATCACTTCCCGAATCCAACGGTAATAAAAGCGTATTTGGAGCCGCAGGTGGAAACCAGCAAAGATAAATTTACTTGGGGAAAGCCGGACGCGATTTCGTTGATCGAATATGCCAAGCAAAAGTTCGGATGGACCCGTAAGAAGAGCGAAGAAATACTCTCGCCGGTTTTGAAGAGATTGCAGGAAAACAAATCGCAGAGCAGCATCAAGGACTTCTTTCACACGAAGCACAAATTGGATGCGGACGTCTCTGATAAGATGAGTAAACGTATCAAAAAGGCTGTTTCCAGATTGGGTCGCGAGAAGACGGATTTGGATGAGGACGAGGATGTGCAGATCCTGAAGAAAACTCTGAAAGTTTCCCGAAGGAAACAGGAAAAAATTGAAACCGATATTAAGAAGGAATTGGAAGGTGCGAAACCGAAGAAAGAACCGGTAAAAAAGAAAGTGGAAATCACGCAAAGGGCCAAGGACAGGGCGGATTTGTTGAAGAACAAAATGAAAGCCATCGAAGTCTTTCGGAAATCGAAACAGGGACCTGGTTTTGTTAAGAAACGTGCAAAAGTCGTGAGGAAACCCAAAGATGATGCTGAACTCTCCGAAAGCAGCAACAGTGATTAATGCACAATCAAACATAATTTCCTTTTTGTAATTAATTCTATTTATATATATTATTTGTAATATAATTTATTCTTTGGTTTACTTCATTATTCACGTCTTGATCCTATGTCTAACTGTTTGTAACAAGTTGTAGTTTCCGTATTGCACGTATTTGTTGGTGATGAATGGAATGTAGAACGCTCTCAAAAAACTGTTCGATTTTTCCGCATTGAGAAACGGCAGAGATTTCACCACTTTCCATCGATCCTGGACGGAGTAGTTCGGCTCCAGCGGAGTTTCCTTCCCCAAATCAAGATCCAAGAGAAAATGACATTTGCTGATATCGAAATATTGACTTTTCTCTTCGAGATTTTTATCGTTGAAATGGCTGTGGATCAACGTTGTTCCGTTTTCGAATTCAGAGTACGGAGCAGGCAGAATTCCTTTGAACTCGGATTGAATGAATCTAAGTTTCCAATTCTTGTCGGGCAAGAAGAAAGAACTGGGGTATCTGTGCCATTCCTTCCCCAAACACACGTTCACATTGGCATTGCTGATGATTTTTCCTTCGGCCGGATACTTTTGCAGTTCGATTAACAGATCCAACGGCGCATGGTAGTTATTGTACAAGGAGAAAATCCTCGATACTCCCATTAAACTAGTAACCATCACAGCTCCAACCATCACGAAAACAGTCCAGTCCAAGTAATGAGTTCCACTAGGAGCCCGAAAGAATATGCATAACACTCTATACACAAGTTTCTGGATGACGTCTATGGATATTGCTCCGCATAAACATATCATCGGGTAAATAGGGAACAAGAACCTAATTAACAAAAATCAGTTAATTGTACAGCTTACATCAATAACATATTAATATCACCTTTCCTCCTTATGCGCTTGAAACATAAATACGGCCAACCACAGGAACATCGGCGCAATTGATACGTAATGCGGTAAACTTAAAGTAATCTTATTCTTAGTTGGCACGAAGAAGTATTGCAATACAAGAAACACAGGGCAGAGCAATCCGAGTACCTGGACAACAAACATTAATTCAATTATCTTACAGTAATTGAAGATAAACGTACCCAGATAAAATTGAAATTTAAGAATCCGTTTAACAAGTAATAAGAAAACGGCTCAGTACCATACAAATCAGGACCGGCGCCGCCGAAAACGTTGTACTTGACAATGTTCCATGGTGCAATGACTAATTTTCCGTAATAAGACGAGTCGATTAGAACCATTGGTAGCAGAATAGCCACTGCCGAGATCACCGACCACTGGATGAAATCCTTGTACATTTTCTTCATGATTATCATGTCATAGGCAATAGGTACACCTAAGAGAGCAGCGAAGGGCCAACCTAGGAGCGACCCGAGGGCTGTTACAAAAATGGCCAATGCGTACTTCTGGGTCCACCAGGCTGCACAGGCTCCTGCCAACCCGTACATTGCGAAGGAGGATGGTAATAGGGCAGTGCTCGATATAAACATTCCAGCAGAGAACAGCTGAAAGGCCAAACACATTCTACCAATGTTCACGCCAAATTCTCGGCACACAGCTCTAAAAGCAGAAAAAAAATATTAATTTGAATAATTTCGATAAAGCGAAACCAAAAAATATTACTTGTAGAAGTACAACTCTACTAAAGCGCTGAGCAATCCCAACACGCATCTAATCAGATAAAACAGCAGTAGTGGGTTGGGGCCCAATAATATTTGGTATAGATAGGCCGGCGCTGCATACACCATCAGGTAAGTGTATGATCTAAGTGCATATTCAGGACTATATTCCCATGTCTGCAAACCTTTACCAAATACTGTAAATAAACACTAAATTAGTATCTTTCATTTCACATATAATAAATATATATAATCAATTATTAATAATATTTACTTAGGTAATGTGTAGGTTCCCAATAGTTGTATGTCTCATCGCAATCTGTCACATGTGACCAAATAGCTGCACAGAACCTGGCCGATAGCAAAGCTTTCAGTGCAGTATCACCAGCAGGGTATGCCAAGTAATTCACCTCATTATTCACCCTACAAAACGTAACATATAATACACAAACACATTTGCAATTTAACCTCAAATTCTACTTAATGGACTGCTGCTTTTCAGTCTTTTTCTGCACCTCCTTCTTGTTTTCGCGTCGTGGAATCGAATTACCATTCTGCTGTCTCAATTTCAACGAGGGTGGATTTCGCACCATTTCCAATAAGAATATAAAAGTTTAAAAAGGCAATTGTATCAAAACATCCATTACCAACATCAACAAAAAACCTTACGATGACAGTTGTTGTCAATGACATGGAACTGATATCAAGTATTGATGATATAAGAAAATAAATAGAAAGTGTACCAACTTTCGAAACAAAATTTAAAAAAGAATTCATAGGAAATCGATTTACACTGAATTGGACTGGAAAAATAAAACTTGTATATTATGAAAATAATGCACGAGGTTGGGGTAATTTAATCAAACAATAAATAAATTAAATAAATAATATATTTAAAAAGTAGTTACTAAAAGTAATAATAAAATAAAAGTTTGGTAGTAAGAATGGCAATAAGTGCAGAGATGAGATTCAGTGAATATTATTCAGTTGATACAACTACATAGAAGTACAAGAAATTTAACTAAACTGACAAATATAATAATGAATTATAATATAAAGAAATATATATTTATATCTTATTTCAACTACATATTAATACTCTGCTTAACATTAAATGTAATTACAAATTCACAAGTCTTCCGATATGCTGCGCATCAATAATTCTACAATGACTAGACTTCGAATTTCTTTGTCGCAACCTAATCAGTAATGCAATAACAATACTTTCTGAGATGATGCAAACTGTTTTCTATACACCTAGCTTGCCTACCATATAAATTAATACGACTAATATCACTCATCTTAATTTCCATTTGATCCTCGTTCAGATGATGACTGATTGTAACTTCGAAAAGCGAGTCGCCAGGACTCAACATCACTTTCATCTGATAGATGTTCACGCTGACATCGGTTTTACCTGTCAGATCCGGCACGAACCCATCGTAATCGTGATTCTTCTTGTATTTCAAGAGATTCTCGTTGGGCGTCAATTGGCTCACCCAATATATAGCGGATATCCGGAGAATGGCGCACTTCGTTCTCTGAGATTCGGTGTAATCGTTCAGGATCTTCACAAACTCATCTCCGAGCCTTTGGATTATCGGTGAGCTCAGCGAGATGGAGTTCCATTCCAAGCAAGCGCACCAGTGAGGCTCGATGTAAGCTTGAGCGCAGCTTCGCTCCTTTGGAATCTTAAAAACGAACAATATTTGGTTTAATTTTAAAAAGAAATAAATGTTGGATAAAACTCACATTTGTGAAGAGGGAAACAGATCTCTTGCTTAAATCAGCAACTCCTGTATCCGTCAAATGCAAGACGCTTTGCAGCGTGGAATAAATATCGAAAGGAGTCACCAAAGTTTGAACATTGTTCACGAAGTTGTCGTAAGCGTCAGAGTACTTTTGCTTAAACCAAGTTGGGAATGCGAACGAGAAATAGGGAAGACGCTCTTCCATCTTCCCTTGCACAGTGTTCCTGATATCGGCGAATCTGTGTCCATGGTCCGCCATAAAAATAAAAATGGTATCGTTCAATGCTCCCGAGGTGTGCATATCCCTCACAAATTCCAAAACGTCTTCATCGGCCACGCCGATCGTGTTGTAATTATCGTGAGATATTTCTCCATGGAAACCGAATAAGAATTTCGGTTTATTCTTGTACACGTGGAAAAACTGTAAAAAAAATCAATTACTCAATATTTATCAGAACACTTGTGCATTTGCAAATACTGACATCTTTCGCGTGGTTCATCATCACTTTGTGTCTGGGTATGCTTCCAGCGCACAAGTTTGGCCACTTGGGAATCATCTTCAGCGTCGACATGTAATACGTACGCATGTAATGATCGGTCGGCATTTCATTGAAGCCCTTCAACCTGTATGTGTAGGTACCGATCGTTGGACAATCTTCCAAATACCCAGTAACGTAACCGTTCTTCTTGAAATCGTCCCATATGAACGGGTACACGTTCACGTAATTCGCATCTTTCACTCGTTTCCTCGTCTCTGGCAATTCTAGTTCTGTTTTACCAGTTAGCATTGGCGTTAAAGCTTGCGGAGTTCCATCGCCAATAATATTATATCTGAAAAATAATTTATTATTTTTGATTGAATCTACCAACAACAATTTCGATAGCGTTCTTTTGTTATAAGATTTCGATCTATGAAGACAAATTTCATAATTCCAAATTGTTTAATATATTTAAATAATTTTTGGAAGTACTCATATTTCATCTATCGATTTTTAGTATTTATATTCGATGTCCTTGGATGCGGTGCGAAAAATATCATCAATAACAATGTACAAGGACATTGAATTTTCATTTATTATAAATGTATGGCAGTTTCATAAAACTTAATAAAATTGGACTAATAATCGTCAATATAAATATTTTACATGTCTCAAGATATTATTACTATCTTCTAAATTGTTCAAAATTTTCTTAATGCTTCATTTCGCTACTAAATTCATTTATGAAGCAGTTTTGTGAAATATTTGCGTTCACAAACGTTTCCAAGTATACTGTAAATATGATGATTGAATAACTTCAATAAATATTTATATACAATGTAAATTGTAAAATATGTTTTAATAAGGCTTCCAAAACATATTTCAGTCAATAAAATTACGACTTGTTAGAAACGTACCCTTCCAAAATGTGCGCGTTCATTTTGGTCTTCAAATATTTATGAGTTTCCGGCAACTTCCTGATCACCGAATTCCTCGACATCGAGTCAAAGCCAAACATGAGAACATTCAGTTTCATGCCATCCTCTGGCACATGCTCCCATCCACTCCTGCTCCAAATGGCTTTGTCCACGCGAATTCCAGTTAGAATTGAATCCCATTTTTCCTCCAAAGACACACAATGCACTCTCACCTACAACATCACATCATGAGTACATGATTCAATTCCATCTGGTTATAATATACTCACAGTATCACTACTTTCCAACTTGTAGTAGGAATCTGATGTGGTAGTTTCCCCATCAACAAAATTAAAATCATCTTTGCGAATGATATCAGTGAAAGAGCATTTGATTGGACCTTTCTGTATTATTATATCAGGTGAAATTCTACACTCTGAACCCTGTCAACAGATAATTGTTTATAATAACTATTCACATCACACATTAAGATTAACATACTTCACATGTTACCCAATCAGGGCCAGCTTGTGAACAGTCGATTGGAGGAACATGTTTAACAAATTTCATCATCTCTGCTGAATAGATTGGAAGATTGGGTTGCTTGCATGCCCCAGTGTTTGCATGTTTCTTAATGGTCTCATCTATTTGCAGTCTAAAACAACTAAAATTGTATAATGTAAACAAATATATAATTCAATACATACAGTATAGACTGTCTATCCAGGATGTCAACTACACTGTCCTTACGAAGATAAATATAGAACAGCACAAAGGCAATGAACAAGTACAGATAGTAGATTTTCTTGAAGAGGACACATCTTAAATAACGTAACGTCATGGTGGAACTGAGACTTTCTGATGACGGTTTCAACGCTGAAGAAATTTGAGAAGTAGGTGGTGTTTTAGTATTATCAGATTATATATTGCTTAGATACAGCTTCATAATTGATGACTGCCATTAGCGTTACGAATCACCATATATTTTACGATATATTTAAAGCCGGTTTTGATGCGGAGATGCAAATAAACATGCCGTGCCGAGCATCGCCGAAAATCACTCGATTGCCTGACCGAAATTCGTTAATTTTACTGTTAACAATATAGGCAACTATATTTACATTCATTCACACCTGCTCTTTTATCTGCTATAAAAATATATATTTTTGCTTATTATGCTAAATCTATATGATTATACAATCGCGGTTGCCGGTTATTAACTATACTTTGTTATATTAATACTAAATATATATTTTTTCTTTTATAAAAAGAGATTTATATCAATTTATTTATTGATATAAATCTCTCCGGCCCTATTTCTACCCCTTTCGGGTTTAACAGCCACCACAAATTTTTGTTGATTTTTCGGAATTGAACGACCTTTCGTATCAGATTTTCGTGATACATTGCTAAATATTTACTCTTCATTATATACTTTCGTACCTCATTTATCCATTCCCTGTAAGGGATATTTAACATCCATTTAGATCCTTTAATTTCAAGTTATATATTATATAATTATTAATATTGTTATTGATCGCTTTATTAAATTCCGCCATAATCTTAAGTTATAATTAGTAAATCTACACACTTACTGTAAAATAATACATTCAATCTCATCCACATTTGGCCATTAGTAATATGAGCATTTATGAAATCAAATATGACAATGTTTAATAAGAATGCCTTTAATAGGAGAAATTTAATCTCAATTTTAACATTTCAGAATATTTGTAGATTGTATTTCAGTCAAATAACTTGAATATTCATTTATAATCAATGTTGTTTTACTATAAAAAGAAATTGGGCCAATAAAGAGTTGTAAATAATTTACATAAAAATCTTAGTGTCATAGCATTTAATAAAACACAACAACTTGAGGTTACGATTGTTTGTTTTGGTTTAAGCTTTGATTGCAGAGCTTGAGGTGGCGCCTTCGCCTTATTGCCAAAAATACAGCAGACCACAGAGGCTCCAGTTTGCTTCTGTGGGATACAAGCATATAAATCCAATTTGAATTTGGCGGGTGCCGGCGCCGGTGGCGCTCTCTCACCGACGGATCTGCGCAGACGGACGTGCGCACACATCGCGGTTGTGAACGCCATTGTTGGACGTTTTGACTGGACTGGTGATAATTAAAAAAAAAAAGGCAATCCATGTAATAATAGAGTAAGCACTGTCGTAGCCAGAAAGGTGCGGGATTATTGGGATTGTTTTAGTGTGGTAGCGGCAGTAATTAATTCGTTAAAGAAGTGGTGCGCGTCGCGCCAAGGACGGCGACAGTTCGGTGCATTTCGGCTGGTGCAATTAAATTCAACAGATATTATTATTATTATTGTGTATGTGTTGTGTGTGTATTTCGGAGTGACGTGCGTGAGACTGTGTGAGTGTGTCGGGGTTTTGAAAGTCGCAACGGAATACAAATATCGCCCCTGCTTTAAGTTTATAGTCAATGTCAGCAGGCGTGTCAGATCAGGTAAAAATAATTAATTAATTAATAATAATAATAATAATAAGTAAATAATTAAAATGCAATAAATGCGACACCAAAAAAAATTATTGTGATCAAACAACAAACTTTTGACAGCGAGATTTAGGTGTATACAACACACTATATTCCACCTTCTCCACCACCACTTTCTGCTTCATATTCCCAAAATACGAAGAAAGTCAAATAGTCCGTACCACCTTCTCTCTCTCTGTGTGTGTGTCTCCCTCTTCCTCACGCCGCCGCCACTTCACTTCGCCTCCTAGAGAATCCCCCCCACCCTACCGGCGCCGTTTTCTTGTCACTTGCGGAAAATATACTCTCACAATATACACGATTGTAAATAATTTTATTACAGGTTGGAAATCGCACGAAAACTCATAATAAATCCTACACGAAATTGACTTGACTTTTGTATATTGCAAGCGACTTCCATCGAGGCGAAAATATCTAATATACTGTGTGTTTCAATTCTATTTCATGTTCCGGTCATGTCACAGCGGATGAAAGGTCAAGGAAATACAGGTTTGTGTTTTGACAGTCTTATTACAAAACTCCGTATACTCTTCACTATTTTATTTGTGCATTATTTATTTTATTTATATTGTAATCCCACCCCGTTCGGCGCGTGATTCTGTGCGATCCAACGTACCACCAAGCATAGCAATACCAGAGCAATCCAATTCGATTCAGTAACCTCAAAATTTCAGCTGCACTTTACGTTTGTTTAAGGTTAAGCGAATAGCGAATTCGGAAAAAAAGGGGGAAAAAGGAAGAAGGCAAACGGCGTTCGCTTACCGAAGTAGTTCAGGTTTCTTCGGGAGATTCGCGATGCGATTTCTGTAAACAATTCTCTCGCCGTTTCCTTCCATCTTTCTTGTGTTTATACCGCTATAGGCTATTGATCAAAGACGGATTGTTTATTGAATCCGTGCGTTAGTGAGTGAGTGAGTGACTCACACGGCTGTTATATAAAAGAAGCAGTCCTATCATTTTACTGCAATTAGTTTTGATTATGAGATTGAGCGGCGGCGGCGACGACAATTGCTGCTTACCGGATTCGCATTAGACGTCGTGTGCGCTTCGACGTGCATTGTTGTTGTTTGAAAATAGCGCACACGGAGGCATTGTTGATCCGCGCTGTTTTATCTTATCGTCGTCCGCTTCTATTCTAATGTATTTGTGTTTGACAAAATTCAGTGCAGTTATTGCAGCATCGGAAAGTTAATATTAGCGTTATATAATTCGTCGTATTTGGAGTATGTTTGTTAATTGCGTGCTTTCCGCAGTGTCCAATGGCCCTAAAGAGCAGTTAGGTGCGGGTGAAGGTGCTAGTGGTGCTGAAGAGTTTGAACCATGGAGGTCCCAACAACAGAACTCGGCAGCTCACACTGCATATGGAACATCTGCCCCTATCTCGAGTGCCACGGACCTTTACAACATGAGCACAGGTAGAATTTTTGGAAATCGCGACGGCATCTTCGTACCTGACCACACGGAATTCTTTGTACCTGTTGCAGGTTATTATGGAAGCGGAGCGACCTATCCGTATCAAGCGTACGGAGTCGGCGACGGGACCTGGTCAAACGGATCAGCAGATCCAGTGACATATCTAAGCGGATACCATCACGATTCTTATTCGATGGACGGTATGTGCTTACACAGCCGCGACGGATGCTCGCATTTACAACACTTCTTACTAATTGTCTACTTATCTTTCTGTCGTCCCTTATGCAACAGGAATGTTCGGCCCTTCGACAACCTTCTCAACGGCGACGCCATTCGGACAGCCTTCCTCGTTCAACTACTTCCACAGCAACGGCGATTACAGCACGTGGGGTGGAAGTCAGATCGGGCAACGGAAGTACGACGATTATTACAGAGACCAAAACATGTACACTCAATCTATGCCAGATACGTTGAAAAATGTAGAGCAGGCAATGCAAAATTTAGGTACATCCTCAACATTCCATCGCTCTTCTCATTGCGCTAATTTCCACTTTACTTGCTACTTGCAGATTTAAAAGTAGACACTAAAGAGTTGGGCCAACCGAAGAAGATGACGTGGGCGAGCATAGCCAGTCAGCCGGCGAAACCCCAACTGACTATCCAGAACCAGGGACTCAAGAAGAAAGGTCCCGGCATGCCTCCGGGTCCCATCATCCCTGGCAAACACAACATGGATATTGGTACGTGGGACACGAGCAAATCCACTCCGCCCCAGATGCCTGTCGTCAATAACACAGTACCAAAAACTATGGCTCCCAATATTGCCGTTAGACCGGCTTGGACCGGACCTCCTACAAACAGGTATGACTCCCAAATACTTACCATTATCATATAAATATACGTATTTTATATCATGGTAATACCGAAACACGATCATTTATGCATAGCGTCTGTATACCATATAATATTTCAAATATATTTAAAACAACACATCAAACCCAGAAAATTATGATTAATTTTCAACCGACGGGTTATTTACTGTAGATGTTTACGCTCATGTACTTTTATATAATTAAAATGCATACTTGGTATTGTACTTGGGAAAATAAGGTTTCAACAATTTTTTTAATTATCTCAAATGTATGAAACGTATAAACACATAAAATTAATTATAATGAACAGTCAACAAAAAAAGTTTTACCTATTTACCATTCTATAGTTTCTAAGTTTAATTTGTTTGTTCATTGTTTTATTTATGTATACACCGATAACGTTGATTATGATTACATGCAAAAACGTTAGGTGAAGTATAGTTTTTACTGCTGATTTAGCAAATCTACAATTTATCTGAACTAATAGTTGTATTATACTATCTACATTATTATTTCGGAATCCTGCGCTTGTTCTTCATAGATTGAGTAGCAAATGATGAATGTAATGTGCATAGTTTTGTAATAGATTTGACACTATATGATAATCAAGTATATAGAAGTTTAAATACAATTCATCCGAATCAATAGAATCAATAAAGAAGCACTAAAAATAAATCGACTTGATAAAGAAAACAGAGACAGACAACAAAGTTATACAATTTTGTCACGCTAATGACGATGGGAATTTTACTAAATTCAAATATGATTTTATTCGCATAATTGATTCATGTAATATAATCATCTACCAGTGAATTTGTTATCTTGTGGTCACTGATAATCGCGGAAAGGACGCGACCAAATTAAATATGTATTGTTCATTTCTCAATAATGCATTGCATTGTCGGAGATATTCCATAGCAACCTTGTAGAGTGAAAGACAGTTTGTTTGTTACTGTAAGGAACGCTTTGTATTGACACATCAATAATCAAATTCTCGTAGAAAATCTGCATCAGCAGATTTATGGATTATATTTAATTAAGCATGCATGCTAATTGATAAACTTATATAAAAGCTGAGCGGCTATAATTTATAAGATAAATTCCTATTGCTTTCGTTGTCAAGCGTTGAACGGAAACAACATATATAGTTTTGTTCGTGGGTTTTTATCAATTACCAAGTAATTCATAGAATTATCATTAGCATATTTCGTATGTTGGTTGTATGTACAAAATGTAGTTTTGTATGAAAGGTTTAGAACCTTTCAAAAACACAAGAGTTTAAACTAACCGCAATGAAATCAGCGTAAGTAAAGTTCAAGTGAGAAATGGTATCATTATTTACTTGCACGTTCACAGTGTTTTCTTTGAATAGTTTGATTTACATCTTTCAATGTTATTCTTTAAATGATACATCTAATTTACTAGTTTCAAATGCCTTGATCTTTGGATAAGTAAATGTTCTTAGAATGGTTATTAATGGGAGTAGTTTTATTGATTGCTTGTATACAAGAATTATATAAATTAAGGATATGACTGTTTTTTTTGCCAATAATTTTTACTTGATACAAAATTGTAGATATATATTAATGAGAGTATTTCTTTTGTGTTTGTTTCATTAAAACCTTGGCAAGCATCATAATTTCTATTATTTCCTTATTTATTTTGAAATGTGTTGCTTTCTGAATAATATTGATAAAAATATGATTGCGTTGCAATACTTTTAGCGTTATCAGTACATACAAACAATGTGAACATAAATTTGTATGAAGTTTCTAAATGAAATGGGCGAATAATTGCCGTTTCAATAATTAGTCAAAATACAAATGTAATTGTTGCTAATTAAATATTGACATTTTTAATTATCAACATATCTATTTCGATCTCTTTCAAAATTTACTCACTTTGTTGCTTATTAACTTTGACGTTTGTAGCATTTTTCTTCATAATAATATTTGTAATATTTTTGTTAAATATTGTATAGGAATTACGCACAAGATTTTACTCTTTTTTTAATGTCATGTTATTAGTGCTTGCATTTATATGGTATTTATTTACTTTTCATATTGTATGTATTTCATTTCATTATACATCTTCATACTAATTATTACTGAGAGTATACATGGTTTCATGTATTTATTGTTTTATACGTATATAAACTTTAGTAATTAATAGACTGTAGTCATAAATTTAGGGTGGATTATTTTCGGAATGGGAAATGTGTGAAGTTATTTAGTTCCATTTTTTTATCTGATAGACTTATGTGTGATTATTAATTATATTTGATTTAGGGGTCCACCGGCAGCGCCTCGTCCTGGGCCACCTCCACATCCGATGCAGTCATATCAGCCAGCTCTAATGGCTCAACATATGCCTCCACCAGTGAGTATGCCAGCAGGTGGTCACGTCCAAAACATGATGCCGCAGGGTCCGATGCCCGTGATGGTAGCAACAACACCGGCTCCAACGCATCCTGTACTGGACGAGCTGCGAGGCAAGAACAACTACAACCCATCAGACTTCGACCTGACAGCCCCGAATGCCAGATTCTTTGTCATCAAGTCGTACTCGGAGGACGACATCCATCGCAGCATCAAATACGAAATCTGGTGCAGCACCGAGCACGGGAACAAGCGTCTGGATCAGGCGTTTCGTGAGCGTGAACCGAACGGTGCTGTTTTTCTGTTTTTCTCTGTGAACGGTTCGGGACACTTTTGCGGCATGGCCCAAATGGTGTCTGCTGTGGACTATAACTCCAACAGTTCCGTGTGGTCGCAGGACAAGTGGAAGGGACAGTTTAAAGTGCGCTGGGTTTACGTTAAGGACGTTCCTAATGTACAGTTGCGACACATCCGGCTCGAAAACAACGAGAACAAACCGGTGACCAATTCCAGGGACACTCAAGAAGTACCGCATACAAAAGGATTACAAGTAAATCAAAACCACCGCTCTCTCTCTCTCTCTCATTCACATCCTTATAAACTAACCGAAATTAATTATTGTTTGTAGGTTTTAAGGATTGTGCATTCTTATCGTCATTCGACGTCGATATTCGACGATTTTATCCACTACGAGAAGAGGCAGGAGGAGGAGGATAACAAGAAGCAGCCGGAACCGGGGACCGTCAGTGCAGGTGGTGGTGGTAACCCGCCGAAGAATAATCATGGACATGGAGTTGGACACGAAGGCAGGGAGAGGAGTGAGCACGTCGGTGGAGGTGGAGGCGGCGGAAGCGGAGGTCGTGACCATAGAGAGTACAGAGGCGGTCATCGAAATCACGACAGGGATGGAAACGAGAGACCAGGACATCATAATAGAAACCACGAACACGAGAGAGGAGGCGGCGATAGAGAAAGGCACCACGAAAGAGGACATCATAAGGTAACAATCAACTGCTCAACATACTTCAAATTCACTAACAAAAAAATGATTAAAATTTCCTGCTACAATTCAAGAATCCAAAAATTCCATGGTATATTACATTACAAGACAATTGCAAATTATTACCATATATATTAATACCATGAAATTATGTAAGTGACAATGATAATGTTAACCCTTTTCGGATACTAACGCTTTCCATATAATTTTCGATAGGGTCAAAGTTATAGTCAATTTTGATTTGTTAATTTGTTTTACTAAGATTGTGAAAACAATATCTTAATCTTTATTTAAACAGTACGACAACTTTATCCACGCATCTTTTCCTGGAATACGCATTTTCTCGAAACTATTTTAGTGCAGTCTATTTTTAACATCATGTTTTTCAATTGTTTTTAGAGCATTGAAAAATGGATTCTTACGAGTAAATTCTCTAGAAAAGTAGTATTTATGTCATGTACATAGATTGTAAACATGTTGCGTAGGTAACAATCTCTGTTAAAGCTATTGGACAAATCAGATTTTTTTTTTAGAATCTTGTCACCTCCATTGCTACACTTATACACTTCATTCCAATCATAGACCATCACGATTCAACTGCATTTTTAAAACAGATATGCAAATATCCCTCCTAAATAATATTATTATTAAATATTGATAATCTCAAATTTTCTATTGCATTTCATAATTATTTTTATTCATATATATCTTGTATCTATTTTTTCGTTATCTTCTGATCTTCAGTAATATTGAAAAGCTTAATTTTTAAGTTAGTAATTAAATTTGCTTCATTTGTATTAGAATATGCATATGTAGCCAATGTTTATGAATCGATTTATTTATGAATTTGATTAGATAGTTATTTAATCCTGCAAATTTCACATCAAGTTACCATCGAAGAAATATACTCACTTACATACGGCACAATGTTATTCACTACTTTCAAAAGTACTTACGGTGAACTTGTAAGTCATAAATAACCACGTAGTGATAGTCTGCTTTATATCGAAACGCAATCTTTGTAATCCATTTTTTTTGTATAATATTAATGTATTTGATGAAATATCTAATCTGTTTTGTTTTTGCATTTTGCAGGATCGCGGTGAGAACAGTAGAGGACGTGGAGGCCGCGGCGGTCGCAACTAAAGAGACCCTTTCGAGGAACATCATTTCTTTTACATGTGGCTATAAATAAGGAAAAAAAAAATAATAATATTACTTTATCGCTTCTCACTCATAGACTTCAAAATTTAGGTATCTTCGTACTTCGGTTTATTTTCCGTAACAAATTAATTAACGCGCAGCAAGGTTTTGCTCGATTACATTTACATGATTTTTTTTTCTTTCTTTTGAATTCGCTTTTCGCTTTAGATTCTTCTATTAATTCTTTATTACCTCTTCCCTTTTTGGATTAAGCATGTTAATGTGAATAAGCTTAAAACTATATGTAATTACTTTGATTATATAATTTTATATATATATATTTTATTGTTTTTTGCGAGAAGAGTCTATGTGGTTTAGTATATATATATAAATACGTATATACATTTATTGATTATATAAATTCGAAGGAAGGAAAGATGTGGCGAGAATGGAAAAAAAACAAGAGTGACAGACAGACAGACAGAGAGATCATTGTTATCCTGGGACTTTTTTTTAAACTCACAAAACGATTTTCTTTACTTGTGTTTGTAAAATTTTTGCAGCTAAATAATTTCTCCTTTTATTTTTCTGTGTGTGGGATTATCAAAGTTGGTTAGCTATTATAATGTTATATATACAAAAATATATATATAATTTTTAAAATCTGGTATTTGGATTATGTAGTGAACAAACAAACAAAAGAAAAGGACATAACATATATGATTATAGCTGTACTATAATTTAAAAAAAAGAAAACAATAACAAGTTAAACAATTAATTAATTAATTATGAACTTTTTTTAGTGGAGCCTATTTTTCGGATCGGGCTTGACTATTATTATTTCTGTTTGTATTAATTTTTTTTTAAACTGATTATATTATAATTTTTTTTTTTGTTGAAGTGCAGTGCGCAGTTTTATGTAATTAACAGAGATCGAGGAAAAAAAAAATTGTATATGGTGAAACATGCAAGTTATCTAAGAGGAAAAAAAAAGAAAAGAAAGTAAAATGCAGATGGAAAGAACTATGATTGTGTGAACTTTAAAAGAAAAATTGTATAGAATATTTTATATATATACACGTCTATATATGAAAAATTAAAACAAGAAAAAAAAAATTATAAGTGATTGTTAATTTCTACTTTTCGCTCCGGGACAAATTTATTTTTGTGAAGTGCTTATATATAAATATATAATAAAAAAAATAATTATATATATAAATAAATGAAACAACAACAAAATAAATATTGATGGACAGGCAACGAAACACATCAACACATTCTCCTCCAAATATATGTATAAAAAAAGAATTAAACCCAAATTTGTATAAAAAACCAAACAAAAATTAATAATAATAAAAAATTTAAGAGAAACACAAACCAGAAGAAGAGAAGACAGTGAACATAACAGAAGAAACACGTATTAATAGAACAGTTGAACGCAAACGAGGCAAAACAACGCAACGCAGGATATATGAAAATTTCAAAGTGTAATTTCGTTTATATTCTTTTTATTGTATTCATTATCTTTTTTGTTTTACTTTGTAACAATGGATTTGAAATCGAACTATGATATATTTTACAGAATTTCAGTTTTGATTTATGTATATGTATAAGTTTTTGTTTTGTCTGTTAGGTGGAATTTGATGTCTTTCGGAAAGTCCACCTGTTTGTCTCGAATTGTGGTTGTAACGTGCAAACTGGTGGCGTTTCCACGAAGAAAGCGCGAAAGTTCGGTTTAATTTACTGCTCATAAAATTGTTTAAAACAGCAAAAGAAAAAAAAATAATAATTAACATTAAATCGTTTGTTTATTTATCTCTAAATATAAATATATATATTTCTGTAGGGAGATTGTGAATTATGCAGACTTAAATATAAAGAAAGAATAATTTGTTGAGATATATTTATGTATAAATATATTTGATAGTTTAATTATAATATATTTGACTTATAACATAGCACTATATTATTGTTGGTTGATTGCAATTCACGTTTGTTTTTTCTCTATCTCTTTAGTATTATTATTCTAGTTGAAATTTATATGATGGTTAAATCATTATTATTTGTTTTCTTCGATTAATGCAGTTTCTTTCAATAATTGGAAAAAGAAAACTAATAAATTAATTCTTTGACTCGCAGGTTGAGTATAAACGTTGGCAAATGTATCATTTAGTAAATATTTAATTGAATCTTTTGAATGCGCCTAAAAGTCTGAAAAGAAAAGAACTGTTGCTTCTTTTAGATCTAATATAATTTTAAACGAAAAATTGTTATAGTGTGATTGTTATAAGTTTGGTTTATTTTTTTAACACTGTGCCTAATATGTTTATAGACTGGCGAGTTCCTTCTTTTTCCACCCCCCAAACAAAATAAAGAGAAAAGGAAGTGAATTGAGATGAGTAACAAAAAAAAATCACTGTACACGAAGAGAAAGCTGCCGTTTGGGAAAAAAATATATATATAATAATAAAGGAAAGACGAATGTAGCGGTAGATCCGAAAAGTGGGAGATTTCTGTTGTGTAGCGAATTCAACAATTAGACATTAATATTAATCCTATTAATAAAAACAAAATTATTTTAACGAATCACGAAAGAAACAACAGAATAATCCAAAAACAAAAAAAAGAACAATTTATTATTTTGTTTTGTTTATTTGCAATAAGCAATTATTATTCTCTTGGTCTTCTATACTTGACTGTTCAATTGGCGATTCCTTTTTGTTTTATTTTTACTTTTATTTTCCAATAAACTGACATGCATATTACTGTAACCATTTTTTATCAATTCGAAAATACCCGCTAAGATTAGCAGACGCAATGCCATCTTTTGGTTGTAATTCGTGAATTTCAAATCGAACCACCAATCGTTTATTGTTACTACGATTTAATTGTTAATTAGTAATACAATTTAATTTCTTTACAATCATTTTTATTTTATAGATTGGTTTAGAAAATTCTTGGGTATTTCCAATTATTGCGCATGCTTGTTCCGCTGTGTTGGTACCACTGGGTAGTGCTGTTGTTGGCTGCTTGACGATCGTTCCCTCTTTCCGGTTTTATCACTGAAAGAACGAGTGCTTGTTCTCGCAGAGCTAAGGCCCAAATTTTAGGCGACTTGCACGAAACTCCATTTGTTAACAACAAAAATCAACATGAGCACCACCGCTGAATTGGCTTGCGTCTACTCCTCCCTCATCTTGGCCGATGATGATGTCGCCGTTACCGTAAGTTTCACATTATAAAAAAATCTACCTGTAATTTGTACACAGAAAAACTTTGAATCGTTTATTATCTGCACGAAAAACATGCATCCACACATTCAATCCAATCGGAAGCAATTCACAGTATCTTAACTATCGAAGTATAGGACTATTTTTTCTATAAAAAAAATCTGAAAAACTTGTTCTTTCTTGTAAACAACACCTGAAATTTGTGGTTATGTTTCGTGTTTGCATGATGTAAACACGTTGCCAAAATATGTTTCCCTCTTAAATTAATGAAAAAGTTTAATTCATAAATTACACTTACTAAAGATTCAGCAATTACGTGTTAATTTCATTTACTTGATGCTTTTTCAAAATTGCTATTATGATAGGTTACTTATGTTATATGAACTTCAAATTAGATACATATGTTCTTTTGTTTCCTTTATTTCACTTTAATACATTTTTTTGTGGTACTGAGAAATAGCTTTGATTCTATAAAAAATCAACCAAAATAGTGTTATGACTTTATCTTATTAATTTCCAATATAAGAAATCATGAAACTAAAAGAATCATTGTTAATATATTAAATTGTAAATAGATGAGGAAGTTGCTTTATATAAAATATACTTATATCATTGTAAGCAACAAGTTATAATATGATTCAGATACTGGAACATTTCTCTTATTATTAAAATGAACATTGTCTTAATTTCGTTTGTTTTTATTTGTAGGGTGAGAAGATCCAAACGATCTTGAAGGCCGCCAAGGTTGATGTTGAGCCATACTGGCCAGGACTCTTCGCCAAGGCCCTTGAGGGTGTCAACATCAAGGAGTTGATCACCAACATTGGATCCGGTGTAGGAGCCGCCCCAGCCGGTGGCGCTCCAGCTGCCGCTGCCCCCAGCGCCGCTGCTGCCGCCCCAGCTAAGGAAGAGAAGAAGAAGGAGGAAGAACCAGAAGAATCCGACGATGACATGGGTCTTGGTCTCTTCGACTAAACAGTTTATGCAGTATGCATAATTAAAATAAACATTTTTTTATTTTATACCGTCGTATTGTCATAAATCATCCCGTTACGTTTCCTCTATCCAAACGCTCTTACTAAGTTTTTTAACATAATGCATATACATTGACAATATTAACGTAGTCAAAATGTGATACAAAATAAGTATACTTTACTTATGATACGTTATTTCAAAAAGAAACTTAATTTCTAGATAAAATTTTCAAGAGTAATATTGAGATATCAATGTTTTATATATTTGAACATTTACCTAGGAGTTTCTTTTTAATTAAGCTGAAGTGTTGAACAAATACTGATAAATCAAGGATAATTTAAAAATTTTAAACTAAATAAGTTACGTATGAAACGCTGATTTAATTAAAAGTTTTAAAACTTTAATAATTTTTCTTGAACTTTTATGTTTTCAAGTAATAATTATCGCACCTCTTATTGGTTCCAATATTGCTACTGCGCAAAGCTAATATGTTTAATGAAATACTTTAATTATTATTACAAAAGTTTTGAATTGTTGAAGTCACTTCTTTGTCAATAATTGTTGTATATTTTTGTAAACTGGTTCTGAGTTTTACTCAAAAAGACGTATTTGGTACGTTCTAATTATAAAACGAGCTTGATACGTATAATTGCTCTATTATTGCTTTTAATTAACTAACGACTCAAGCGTTTAAAATTCCAGTAATTTTACTTTAGTTAACGGTCGTAGTGAAACTGGTTGCCTACTAAACGTAAATAATTTAAAAACAATTAACACCGTTTTGAAGAATTCCAATTTGCATAGAGATTCATAACTAATTAGGATCCGCACGAGTCGACCCACGTATACAATTTGCAATTGAAATATGCATTGTTTCGAGTTCTGGTTGCTTCCTCCCAGGGATGGTAGTTCTTTGCGCCATTTGCGCGCGTTTCGTCCATCATAGTTTTTTTTTATGTTCGTTTGGGGAGGGGTGCTCTGAGTACAAACAGGGGGATATTTACTTTATTATTAAATGCATTCTTGAGAAACTTATTCCGTTAAAAAGTTAATTTGTGCAGTCAAGTAATAAGTTGCAATGAGTTGTGATAATGTGGACATTCTCTCTGGTTATTTAGATGTTAAGATTTCTGCCAGAACAAGGCGCGGTTTTACACCTTGGAAGGTAAATATTTTTGCAGGTGGCTTAGCATAATTTTCACTTGTTTGTTTGTTATTTTTTTTAAAGGCTTGGCAAAAGCAGTGGTGCGAAATTAAGAGGGTGGATTGCATTGAGAATGGGGTTGAACTGAAATTAAAGTCTGCTTTGGATGGGAATGTTTTGAGTGTGGTTCGTCTGCCAAGGTCCTCGAAGATCTGCAGGACAGAATCGAGGACCAAGCAGTATTCTTTTGGGGTATTTACATTGGGGAGAAATCAGAAACCATTGCTCTTTTTATCTGGGAACAGCGAGAAGGACAGTCAAGCATGGATGTCTTCGATTAGGAAGATGCTCTCAATCGCCTCATACCTGCCAGTTGGAGAAACGAATTTTCATGTTTCTCTTGTTGATAATAGTCATTCAAGAACTGCAGGTCTGATGGGTCTATATGGAGTTTTGGGTACGAATTCTCAAGAAATGGTTATCAGTGATCCATGCACTGGGGAACCCAAGATTACCTGGAAATGGTATCAATTCCATCAGTTCCATTTACAAGCCAGCAGCATAGCATCAGATGAAAATCAAATTTGCGTCATGCATACAAGCACGTAAGATTTATACGAATTTAATTATTTGTATATATTTACATTTTAAATTATTTCAGTGAATTCATTGCTGGTCCTGGACAGTTGTATTTGTATTGCAAGCAAGCGCCACAGCTCCTTAACTATTTGGTGGCTCGCGGGAAAAGGCCTAAACTGAATGCAGGTCTTATAAATACAAGGAGATTAAGTAGAAGTGAAGGAGATCTGTGTGAAGCTTACAATGGAAAAGATAGTTATCAGCCAGATAGTCCAATTTGTTTCAGGAGTAACAGTGGAAGTGAAGATTCTGGTGTCAGGGTTTCACTTACTTCTGAAGATTTTGCTCTGAAAAGCAAAGTAATAGTATTATAAATTGTTTTTACTTTGTACTAATATTTGTGCTTTAGATGGCAGCTAGTTTGGTTAGTATTGGTATGGCTCTGTTAACTAAGACTCCTGGAGGTAGTGAGACTGGAGATTCAATGCTTGATATAACGTTAAGTGGAGATGGAGAGTGAGCTCTTATAGATTTTGCAAGTAGTTTTTAAATGTTTTAAATCGTTATTGTTCTTTAGGAGCCCTTTGATGAGGAGAGAATCTGGTATTTCGATTGCGTCAGGTATTTATGAGGAAATATCGGAAACGCCACCCACCACGTCTCGAACTAAAGAAGTCGTGAATCACGTGTACGAAGATCCGGTCTTTGTCAGTTTGAGGATCAAGAGTGTAATTCCGCCGCCTCCGTTGCCGCCACGGCAAAATGAATTATTATTATTAAGTGAAAGGTGTGTACTTCATCGTTTACAATACAATAGTGGAATGGTATGTGGGTGTTTGTACCCACAAAAGAAACAGTTTCATCAGTTGCAATTAAAAAACAGAAACTTTTATTTAATTGGCAGTGTTTTAATTGATGACTTTATCATTGTTTTTCAGTATGAATGAGACTCCTTACATATCGATGACTCCATACAAACAACGTTGCAATACGCTACCAGCGAAGGATCTGCAGAGAATGTCGCAGATCTTCACCTCGGATGAGGAATACATGGTAATGTCTCCAACGAAAAAGACGATGGACGCTATGGAAACTTACATACCAATGACGAAAATCGCAACAAACTTGGAAAGCTGCTACATGGTGATGAAATGAAGACATACATATCGAAACGAAGACTGTTTATCCAAGACGTTTTTTATTTGGCTCAACGAAAAGTACAAGGAAACAATGCTCGCTCGCACAGAAAAAAAAAAAAATATTTTTCACGAAAATTATCGTGAAAGATGAGTGAAATTAAATTAAATATGCCAATCATTTTGATAGTGTAGCTTTTGTAAAGAAAAAGGAAATTTAATTACCGATTTTTTATATGAACTCATGCCTTCGCTTGCCTTTACTGTTGTTATACACTCTATTATATATATGAATGGGTGCAAAGTATACTTTTAAGTGACTTTGACATTCTTAATATTGTTACTGACGCTACTGTCGAATTTTGTTAAATTTTTGCGTTCACCAAAAAGAAGGAAAAAATGAAAAGAAATACAATTAGGTGAATTTAGTCAAATTATTGGTGTAATTAGCTTTCGTTTGATAACACTTCTTCGATTATTTCCTCGTCAATATTATTATTAAGCTTTACAATTAAATTGTTTACCTTGTTATCTTTTTACGTTAATTTATTTACTGACTTTATTATTTCTTTTTATATTTGTTTTACATGTTTTTTTTTTAAATACATATCAATGTAAGGCTTAAATAAAGAATAGAAATATTCACTTTGGAAAACTGCTGTTTCTTTTGATCATCATTTATTATACATGGATAGACACATATACAAAACATTTAAACTTGGTATAATAATATGCTTAGTATTTTAGCAGGAAGCTCAAATTGTGCATTCAACATTCTTAACTACATTGGTCCAGTCCACTTTTGATGGACACAGGTAGAAGGCTGGAGCAACCTGTGATCCACATGGACACTGGCATCCCATGATCCAGCTGAAAGACCCAACTTTGTTGTTGCATTTTGGGCAATGCAGTTTCCCCTGGGTGTTCTGTGTAACGCCGGCCATCCAGGACAAGGGTTCCATGAAATGGGTTTTTGTACAATACTTGTCCTCTGTCTTATCAATGTGTATAATCAGATTGCTTTCACCTGCCAATACCCTTCTGCATTTCTTACATCTGTACACATTTGGTTCAGGCTGTATCTGAGTCAAACCTGGATCAGCTTTGATCAAATCAAAGTAATCTTGTGGAAGAATCTTCGCCTTCTTCACTTTATCAGCAGCTATTGACAGGCGAAAATTTTTGTACTTTGCAAAATTCTTGTTCACCTTGTATCCCATCTCCACATAAAGCTTTAGCTGCATCATAAAACCTGGATTGGGATATATAATGCCCCTTCTTTTCTTTGCCATTTTGAAGGCCTCCATGAAAGTCAAGCTGTATTTCTTCAACAAGTAGGCTATGACAATAGTGGCGCTCCTGGAAACGCCGAAATAGCAGTGAACATAAACAGTGCCATTTTTCATGCCATCTGTTATAAATTCGTAAGCGTCATCAAAGTGTATAAGGAGATCCTCTTTGGGCATATCACTGAGCTGGAGATATTTGTTAGTTATGTGATTCAGGTCCCTGATGTTCCTAGGCAATGGGCAAGTATCTATTGTCAAGATGTGTGTGATTTTGTATTTGTTTAAAGTATTTATATCTTTAGCAGCTTTCAGATTTCCCAGGTACAAATTTGATTCAATCTGATCCAAACTTATTGGATCGTCCAGATCGTCATCATCCATTATAATAATTTTGATTTCCTGCAATTTAAATTGTTTAATAATTCACTGCTACAACTACTGTATTTATTGATTTTACCACCTTTTTAACTTTTAACAGTCTTTTTCAAGATTTCACTGTTGGTACACGAAACGTGAGAAACAATGTTCAATTTATTAACTTACATTAAATCTACAATTTTACAATGCAATTAAACTAATACAATTTTGAAAAACTATAGACTACATCAAACCGATCTATTAAAGAGGTTATTTGTGTACATTTGGTTGCATGTATGGTACAAACATATTTGTAACATGGGTTATATATACTATAATTATACAGAGTGTTCTATTTTTATTGAAATCAAATTTGAAATATTATTCAATCATTACGAACTATAATCATTGATAAAAAAAAGTTCTATTCGTTAATTCTTCTTAAAGCAAGGTAGTAAGATGCAGAACCTCTAAGAATCTGTTAAAGAAAAATAATATTAATAAAATAGAGAAATTTGTCTTAATTCTCTTAATTTACAGTTGTATAGGTTTCCAAAGATAAGTATGCGAATTTCCCTGCAGACAATCGAATGGGTTTCTGTGCTCTTCTCATCATACTCATCAAAGATTTTTTAGTATCATTATCGAAGACAATCCAATTGCTGGAGTATACTTCATCAGCTACTTTCAAACTCTCTATGGACAATTCGTTACCATTCCAACAGTAAATGAGCAATTGGAAAAGCATTAAAAACAGATACGAAACCATGCTGAAAAATTTTGGACTATTGATGTCGTACTGAAAGTAATACAATTAGTAAAATATGAAAAGAAAAAAAAAAGTTATTATACCAATGAGAGCTGGTATAGTTGAAGACACATTAGCATGAGACTGCCCAGGAATTGCGCTAACATAACAATAGAAAATTGAATTTCAGCTTCGTCCGTCAAAGCAATGATAACTTGATGATGTTGAACTGTGTCTCTAGTAACCATGGTAACATATTTTTGGATATTCGGTGGGATCTTTTCTAATACTCCAAGAGTCCTGCTTAAAGTGTGGTTTTCTTTCTAAAGTATTTAATTTAAATTAATATGAAATATTTAATTGAAATTTAGTTAAACCTCGTATAAGGCAATAGCTCTTTCAGTAATATTTCCCAAACTATTTTTCAAAATCAAAATTTGGGCCTTTATGTGCACCATTATCCCAGTAATTAGAGCATCGCAAGCACCAATGTAAATTCCAAATAGCGTGCAACTGTAAACTTGATAAACGAACGCAGTTTTGTAGTAGATTTGCGTATCGAAAGGTAAGTAGATGGGATAAGGTAGAATTCTCGTAATTAAAGTCGTAGTTTCATTCGTTACGTTATCTCTGCTATAACTAATTGACTGATCTATAGCAGCGTAAATTGCTCTATTCGCAACTATAATAATGACAAAAGTGTAGAAAACTACGGCTTGAAAATTGCAAATCTTTATAGCTTTTTGAATATGTTTAAATTCTGAAATTCCACCACGATCAAAGTTTGGTAAAAGATGTCCGCTCTCCAATTTGTCGCAATAACGTTTAATCGATTTTCTGTTTAGCAACAGCAGAGTACCTTTCAGCATTCCTGAAAAGCAATCATGGGTGCTGTAGAAAATTAACAAAATATTACTTTTTTTTACCTGTTCCCTGGGTTACCAAATAACATAGATTAAACGTCATGTAATCGAAATCTCCGTAGTGCATCAACAGATCGACGAATTCAGCAAATATATAATAGTAAATGCAGGTGACTAAAAATGTAAACGAGTAAACAGTGTACAACATTGATAGGTGAGGATTTTCGATTTCATCGAAAGATATCCCCAAGAACTTCAAAGATCTCAAAATCAAGCTGAAGTAGTTCTTCCGCATTTTCGGAACCACGACCATCTTTGATGTTTTCAACAAATCAAGGTAGGTGAAATAAGAAATCTTTATTTAAATACGTGTATGCAAGGAAAGTTTTTGTAAGTAGTTTACTCTAATAACTAACCAATTATTCGGAGAACTTTGAAAGTTCGAAGACGTAACACACCCATTCTCGTGTTGCATTTCACATTTTAATAAATCATTGCAAATTGTTCTGAACCAATACTAATCAGTATTTTCAGTTTGATATTCCAATTGCAGCATGATGAAAATGTAATTCGATATGTTGGACATCATCTAAAGAAATAATGATTAGGTAAAGTTAAAATGAGTGTAATTTGTTTCAATTACTCCAAACATCATGGCCTTGTTGATGGAAAATAGGCGGCATACGGATATTGTTACTTGGTTTTCTTTTAACTCGTAAATTGAAGTAATCATCTAAAAAAAGAGGTTTATTAAGTTGTATTCATAATTTAGAGAATTTACTAATCCATGTGCGTTTTCGTCGTATGGATCTACTCGTATTCTGTTTAGTATCATTTTAGATTTAGCTGCCTGTAATGTGAATATGTTATTAATAATTTGTTTAAATTAAATTATATGTTACAAAGTCTGACCTCTTTGCAAAGCAACGTGCTGGAATAAACTAAGGAGTAACTTTCGAATAATAAGTAGATGTAATTTTTGATGACAGTGAAAATGTAAAGAAAGGTTGAGTCATTCAGGTTGAGGACGAAACTCATGTAATAGCCGTTCGCAAAAACGACGTCAAAGAGTAGTAAAAAATGTAAAAGCAGCTCGATGTTAAAGTATTCGTTTACATTTCTCGTGATTTCCCCTAGTTTCTTGTACATTTCCATTAATTCGTCCAACTCTTTGTGGAAGGAATACACACTGAAAACGTGTCGCCTATTTACTTTACTTCGTTTCTTCACTGTTAACAATCGTTTGTTGATTATTTCGAAGCGTTTCCTCAGCCAACAAGTCCACAAAAAATAGTAGCATTTCCTCAAAGTGCCTGTAAAAGCAGGCAAAACTTTACAGATTATCAGATTTGCAGTGATCACTTTGTAAGAGATCAAGGCGACGAAAGTTTCGGTTAGTGTTTGCGAAAGGATGGCCAAAGATAGAAGAGCAAAGCTCTGCCTAGTTATCCAATTATTTGCTGCAGCCATATCGTCGTTTCCTTCCAACTTCGCGTCGAACTCGTCCACTGCTCTGTACATGTCGATTTCCTTTTGAACCTTCCACGAACTTCGAATGTAAATGACCACGAACCTGATCATGTTGAGCATGTCGTACGTGAAGTACGACAAGAAGTAGATGTCGGAGTTTCCAACGTATTTTCCATCCGTGTCGAAGCTCAGGTAATACGTGAACGCCACAATCACCAGATGCACCAAAGACAGAAAATGTATTATGTGGTTGCATTTGTATTTAGAGGTGTTATCACTGCTGGTAATGGAGGTCATGGAAAATAACTTGGAGAATCCGAGGAATGCGGAGATGGCATCGTAGAAGCTCTCGCTCATTTTCCTCGAGCGCTGCTTAATCGATAAGCAATAACGCGAGTGAACGGAAATAACGAACTGATGTTGTAATTGATTCACTTTTATTTCATTAAATTGTAGCTATTACAGTTTCTATAGGTATTAGACCGATGATTGGTTGGAAAAGGACGGAATTTATCGTGTTTGCGTCCGGAGAAAACAACATGGGTAAAGCCATTAGCAGATTGCAGATTCTATTTGAATTCACCTTACCCTAAAAAACAATATTTACTATAATTGTCTCTTGCATTAAATATATGATCTCACCGTGAAGCCTTCGATCAATTTCTCCAACATCTTTTCGATCAAAGAGATTTGTGTCGGGTCTTTCAGGAGGTCACGTCGGCAAAGCAAAAGACTTTCCAGAAAATCGATTTCGTTGCAATCTATTTTCATCTTCTTCAAAGCGTTCACAGTGCATTTTATGTCTCCCATTTGAATCTCCGTGGGCCATTGGCTCGCCCTTAAGATGAAAAGTGGACTCCAGAGGTGGGATAATATCGTGTTTTGGGAGTCTTTAGTCAGGCAGCCGAAGGTCGAACTCTTTCGGGCTTGCTTCACAGAGACCAGAAGGATCTGAGCTGCGAGTTCGTGCTGCGGGTTCATTAAAATAGGATCGGATATGGATTTTGCAGGGAATCGATGGTTCTGCAAACCTTGGAATTTTGGTTTTCTAGGACCTCGTTCTTCCTGCACAGCTGAAACATTGCGTGAAATATCAAATAATGTTTTGAGGTCGATTTAGAAATATACCAGTAATAAATAATGTTATTATTGTAGAACAAAATAAGTCTTATAAAGTAGCTTATTTTTACTATTTTTAACCATGTTCAAACCTTACAATTTAAATATCAATATTAATTATTGCTGGTTCTATTTTTTTTTTGCGAGTTTCGCATGTTTTTGTTTTATTTTTAATCGGTGGCAATCGCAAGCCCGACCACCGAAATACCGTCTATCGAAATCTCGACGTTCGAAATCCCGAGTGTATCGAAATCCCGACGTTCGAAATCCCGACTATATCAAAATCCCGACACCCATAATCCCGACAATCAAAATCCCAACAATCGAAATCCCGACAATCTAAAACTTAATAAGATTAACATAAACTAATTTTATTATAGAATATTTCTTATTTTTAAGTTTTATAATGAATAAGTCAATGAAAAAAAAAACAATAATAATTAATATTATTTATTGTTATTAAGAATAAATAACAACAATTAATAATCGGGCAAAAGAGCTATCGACCTATTAAAATATAGTACAATAATTTAAAAATGTTATTGTAGAAATTATAATAATAAAAGACACTGTCGGGATTTCGATTGTCGGGATTATGGTAGTCGGGATTTCGATACAGTCGGGATTTTGATTGTCGGGATATTGGTAGTCGGGATTTCGATACACTCGGAACGTCGGGCTTTTAATAGACGGTCTTTCGGTTGTCGGGCTTGCGATATAGACCCTTTTTCATATTGTCTTCGATCAGATATCAACTATGAAACTTCGTCTGAGTTGTATCATTCTACTATGTTCACGTTTTAATTATAGTACAGAATTAGCTATTGACAGTTGTTGATAGATGGCATAAGGGAGTACCTTATTGATTTATTATATAATTTTAGCTAATAGTTTTACTATTTCTATATATTTATATTAATGATGGTATTTATAAATATCATAATTTCCATTATTATATATGCAAAAAGAATAAATTAAAATTTTATTAAAATTATTTACAAACAGATGTCAACAGTGGTTTTGTGCAACTGTATATTAGTCTTATCTGTTGATACTAGGTGGCTCTTGCTGATACTTTCTGAAACGATTTTTTTTTCCTATGTACATATTTTATAGAAGTCAGTTTAAGTTGGATTTAATAGTTATTTTTTAGTTTCGTTAGAAGAAGTCGTTTATTTTGATTATTTGTTTTGAAGAGGGAAATTTTTGGTGTAATTGGAAGAAGCTGGTTGCCTTAACTATTTGGACGGAAGAAGAAATCCGAAGAATACAGACAGGAGCTGGCTTATTGGCGCGTAATGCCAAATCTTCCAAATGAAGATGGGGAAGGAAGAATAAGAAGAAATTAAGTTTCTCTAATTTCTGTATGAACATAATGAATGTATGAATAATATTTTTGTTTTGATGTAATATAATTAAATAAGCGTGAGTTTGTTTTAAAAAACAAAAGAAATAAGATTAATTGATCACAGGACTATTGATCATAGGCCTTCCTGTCCTTTAATTATAAATTATATATAAAAATTATAAATAAATCGCGGTTTAAAAGATAATTTAACAATCAAGTCAAGTCAACTGTTTTAACCCGTAACTGCTAATTTGACTTTTTCACTTTTTAAATCTAAATATTGCATTGAATTTTATAGTTGCGCTTTCTTCCGTTACTATATCTTCGAATAACATAAGTGACAATCAGCTAGTAACTACACAATAGTGCAGACGAGTAAGTTGTTAAGATATTATAATAACTAGTTCCATTCACCCAAAATTTAATTACAATTTGTAACTTGTTATATAATTTGGCAAAAACCTGTTTGTTTACAATGTTCAAAATATATTTGTAGTTTTGTGTGTTGTTTGTTAACTTTTTTATGATAAAGTTTTAGATATAATTGTTAATAATTACATTTTAGAACGTTGAGAATGAATTATTTGACCTGATTGTAGTATGAGTATATATAAATTAGCATAGTAGCAGTTACGAATTAAAATTGAAATTTAAAATTTATATTATGTGTACATTGACGATTTTCAAGTGAATCCGCCGGGTTTTTTTTTTTACTATGATAATTCTCATTTTGAAGAAAGCTGAATTAAAGAAATAAGTTGATTTTTTTATAACTGAAAAGTTATTTTTGTAGAATATTTGTGATTACTCGTATATAAGAAAAAAAACTTACAACTGACTTTCAAGATGTTAAATATAATTGAAAGTCAATATTCAATCAACATTCATATGATTCAATAAATATGGAAGCAGAATTATAGTTAATTGTGTGATTCTTGAATGTATTAGATTTGTTTAATGTCAATTTATAAATATTATAACAAATATCTATCTTATATATCCAGATGTCTGTATGAAATGTATGAATATAACGATTTCTTTTGATAGTAATTTGATCGATAGGACTAATAAACTTTACAATTATTTTTTATAAATTTAAATAAAATGATGATTTTATGTTGTTTCGTTCATATGAAAAATAATATAAAAATTATTTTCAAATATTGTTCTTAAAGCCAAAGTGCAACATTTAAAATTTGTTTATGTATCATTATTATTACAATAAATATAGATTTGAGAATATAATATTTCAAGTTTTATTTAGAATAATGACTATAAACTTATTTGAAAAAACTGTTAAATTAAGAAATTATTGTTTATACATAAATATCAATTAATTAAATTTGATTACATTTTGAGTTTAAATATTTAGAATAATTATGTTTTCTGAAAGTGGATGCGCCGGGTATTAATTGTAATCAAATATTTTAAAGTTAGAGAATGAAAGAACATTTTTTATAAAACATATATACAAAGAGCTATTAACCATAGTCCTTTTTGGACTAATACTACAAAAACTTTGCATTTTTTATTCTAAATACTATTTCTAATGATATTGTGTTCTTACCTGCTGTATTCATTTGCACGGAGAAACACCTTTGGAGCCGGCAGTAAGGACACCAATTCCTTCTCGCTTTATCCACAACGCATCTTCCATCTCCAGCTGAAAGAATGTATTTTTTTGGGTATTTCTAATTAACCTTAAGAACTGCAAAACAGAACTTACAGATGCAGGTGTATATTATGTTTCTTCGTATGCTGCGTTTGAAGAAGCAGGAACATCCGTCGCAGCAGTAGACTCCGTAATGTTTTCCGTAGCTTCTGTCGCCGCAGACCATGCATGGTATCGGGGCCGGTAGTGTCCTTCCTTCGCATTCGATCAGACATGACTCTCGGCGATATAACATAGAGCACTTACCCATTCCTACTACACTCGCTGTGCTCACGGAAATAAGGGAATAAATCAGAGCATGGAAGTGGTCTGGATTTATATCCGAGCCTATGTTTGGATTGGTGGTGGTGGAGGTTGCTGATGTTTGCATCGTTTTGTGGAAACGAAGGGGGTGAGTATTAACGAGGTGTCAGAGGGTTCCGATTTGACGCCCTCTTAACAGGTCAGAAGAGCGCGTGGCCTTTTGACAACAACCGTCGTCCGCTGAAAGCCCTTCAAGTGGATCATTAATATTTAATATGTTTTCGTTCGTTTCTAATGATCACAAGCTACACCTCACGATTTTGCTTCGTATTCCTTTCTTTCTTCGTTATTTTGTCTTTGCTTAATAATAACACTAATAGATTTTTATATAATATTTAAATACATTTAAAAAATGCGAAAATTCAGAAAAAAAAAGTGTTATAAAATATTTTTTAAATAAACATTTTTTAAACGAAATCTGAACAAATCCATAATAGAAATATTTTATTGAATCCACTAGAATATGTTCATTACATTGTATAGATTTTAGAACTCTACAAATGTTCGTATAATTATAAGATTATCCAATTATATAACTTTGAAAGTAACCAAATTGAATAATTTTTTTAATAATTCTTGAAAAAATTTAAATTCTTATAAAGTAAAAGCATATTCGGATGAACTTGTAAGTAAACAATTTCAGCAATACTACAAATTAAAAGTAATTACTGATCATTACATCATTATTGATTGAAATCGAATGAAAAAGGCATTATGTGTAAAATTAAATCGGTCCATCTTATTTACCATATTTGTCATCATCAAGTGATGATTTCCATTTAAATTATGTTTCCTTGCTTTGAAAATTTTCTAATTTGTCTTGGAAATAGATGATCTGATTAAATTAATAAATTGAATTATGTAGTTTTCTAATAATATCAAAGGAAACGCATGGAAATTTATTGAAAATTTTCTAAGACAAAAGTTTCAAATTACTGAAGCAAAATGCTTTTTGAAACTTAAAATCAATTAAGTTTAATTGAATTAAATAGTTGGAATAATATATAAACTTTTAATGTTGATTTTTTCATCTACAAAAAAAACACTTATTTTCTATATGTACATTTAGTTGTTATTAGTTAAAAGAAGTATGAACTTTAGCTTAAACGATTATGATATATACGTTTAAATATTAATATATTAAAATGTCTTTGTTTTATTAGAAATTTAGATTTAATTTTTTTAAAATCGAGTACGTGATTGTAACATAATTTACTTTTACTTTTTTGTTTATTGTATTTACAATCCAAGTAAGAGTGGATCAAAAGAAAAAAATAGCAGTGTCATCGTTTCCCCATTGTGTATATGTTGTATATTGTGGGGGAGGTTAAAAGCCGACCTGTCTTTCACTTATCGCCTGTCATGCAAACAAATAATCATTTGCCATCGGAAAACACAAATCACAACTTAACGAATATAATGGAAACGCTGCCAACAAATCAAATGCAAATCCGATTTGTATATGAACATATTACTCACGTTTTTTGTTCAGTAAAATAAAACGTATCGAATAAAATTTTTACAATTTTCATGTCAAATTAAGAAATTTCTTTTTGAAAATTATGATAATGGTAACATGGATAGATTGATTTTGTATTAAGTGACTTAATAATAAGTAATTTAATTTCTAAAAAGATAAAAGCAGGAATATATGGTTTTGTATTGATTCGCTATAGTACGGTTTGAAAATTTAAAAAATAATTAAAAAAATAAATTAGTCACAAAATTAATTTGTATATAACGTTTTTTATAGTTTATTCTGTCAGGTCTTAGGTTTATGCCGTTTAAAATTTATCGATTAGTAATTATTTTTATGCGATTTCAATCATTATTTTCACATGTAACTTGGCAAGTGTTGTCTACTAATTAATGTACATGATTTTTATAATTATTACTCACTTTTTTCTGCTGTTTATTAATCTTACATCTGTACAAAGAGGGAATTATTTGCGTAAATAGTTCCGCTCGATATGAGTTATCTAATCGTTGTTTCTTTATTTATATTGTTTTCTAAATAATGCGGAAAATGGGTAATGTTACCTGGAAATAAAGACCAGACTAAAATAGTGAATGTGTAAATATGGGATGAAAAAGGTTTGGGTAAACGCAAATTTATTATTTTATCCCTATCGGATGGGGATGGTCACACTTCCACTTCTATTTGCTTATATCAAAGTACCGCTTGGCACTTCATCATCTGTTGTTTATTTTACTATTTCTCATTTTAATACATTTAATAAACTATATTTAGAATACGCATATTTTTTCATAAAATGTCTTTAAAATCCTTTAATAATGATAACAATATCAAACAAATAATTCATTCATTACTGTATTTCTTAGTTTATATTCGATTTTAATTTTTTAGGTAAGAGTTTCCCAAACTTTTGTGAATTGAAGATGATTTCCATACATAAACAATCTCTAATTGAATGAAAAATCGTAGAAATAGAGATTATTGGGCAATAACTGTTAGTTACAGTTATTTTTTTAGTATTATTATTATATAAATACGTTTTATTTGTATCTATGTTAATGTTATAATAATTATTGGCCGAAATAGGGTGTGAAAGAGGGCGCCGGCCGCAGGCGCATCAACCGTAAGAGCGTCAGTAAAAGGTAATATTATTGTTTTCTTGAAGGATGGGGGCGCAAATTAGATATTTCCTTGCTGCGGTCCTGATTATTGGAGCTATTATCTCTATTATTTCCATAATCACTACAAAATAATACTGTACCTTTCCAAGTATAATTTTCTTTGAACTTTGGTTAAAAATAAAAACAAGGAATTTCATTAATTCATTAATATTGTATGTATATATTTTTGTTTCCTAAACATATTTAAATTATATAATATTATTTACAAAAATTAAAATAAAAGAAAATAATAATAATAAAAAAAATAAACATAATGAAACCTTAATGTAGAAAACACTTTGCGGATTAAAACGAATACAATAAATATCTACACGATAATTATTACACAATCTAATACTTTAGATGAATAATAATAATATATATAAAAAAAACAAATAATAATAATAAAGAGTAGCAAAGTCTCGTCATGGCATTAAAACACATTTAGCTAAATAATCAATCAATAATAAACACAGTATATAACACAAGAGCAGTCTCAAAAAAGAAAAACATTAAAAGATTAATTTAGTTATTATTAAATTTATATATAATATTACGTATAGTAATGCGTCTCGCAGCGAACGAAATATGCATGTATGAGAAGAAAGCTTTATTCGAATTATTCGAGTTGCGCATTAATCACATGAATAATAATTAAAATTATTAATAATATTTATAATACATGAATTAAGTCTTATTGGATTACGTATATTTTTTTTGTTTGTTTATAATATAAGGTTTGGGTGATTTATTTTGTTTTGTATACATTTGCTAATTTCACGGAAATAAACCGAGTTATGTAATTAAATGTAATTAATTATATTTATAATTATATTCGTTTTCTTGCTTTGATGCAGTGGCGAAATAATGTATTGTTTTATTATTCGACAATGTAAATATGCAAGGCTTTTATTTTATTTTATTAGTACGGGATTAAATTTCTTTTGAAAATTAACGCCTAAGCTTCTAGGGGGAGAAGCAATGTGAATTGAAGTAATAATACAAAAATAAGATCACAATTGGAAATGATAATGTTGGACGAAAATTGCGCTTGTTTATTTAATAATAATAATAATAATTGATGGGTGTGTATTTACAAACGGATTAGTATACTACTAAGTATGTACAGGTATTCGAAAAGAAATAATAATTTTAATAATTGCTAGTTCTGTCTGCATCTGCGACTGAATAAATAATATTATTATATATTTGAATTCGACAATTGCTGTTGTCGAATCGATTCGTTTCATCTCTTTTCGTTGATTATATATATTGCACCAGGATTGCGTTTATCGTTCGTTGAATTACGAGGAGGCCATGAGTTTGGCGGCGGCTGTCACGTGATGCTGATGATGATAGGCCACTTCCGGAGCGGAGGCAGCGCCGGCTCCGTGGAACCCGATGAATTGCTGATAGGGATATGATTGGTTCTGGAAGCAGCTGTACGGTTCGTAGGGTTCCGTCTTGATGACACTGGAGGCGGTAGCAGCTGTGGTTGCCGGAGGCAGCAGCGAGGTCTGACCAAGGTACGGCCTATCATTCGGTTGCTGCTGCTGCTGTTTATTGGGAGACGAAGACTGGTGATGGTTGTGGTTGTCCATACTCTGATGCAAAGAGTGGTTTTGCTGCTGCTGCTGTTGAGGATTGGCGTGCTGATGTAGCATAGCCGATTTGGAATCTGTAAAAGAGAAAGCTTATATAAAAATATGGTTCTGAATTCCCTCAACCCTTCCGCATAATATAAATAATATTTTATTGCTTGCATGCATAATTTCTGGTAACAGGAGGTCAGAAGCTCGAGCAAGTTCGGGCCGCAAGTACGCGCGGGTGGGAGTAGGGGCGTGGTATAATTTAGTTTAGTCCAATGAAAACTTACCGTCGATTGGAGTGGGCGTGGCGCTCTCGTTCTCTCCGCCATTGGGCTTCTTCGGTTTGCGTTTGCGCGTCTGAATGCCGTCCTTCCTCATGGTCAACGGCCTATTGACGCCGTGCAGCTTGAAGTACAGCCCACAGGCGTTGCACACCGGTTCCCCGTCGTTATTCCTCCTCCACAACGTCGTTGTCCTAGTACCGCAGTTCGTGCAGCAAAGCCCCAACCTCCTAGTCGCAGTCTGAAGAACAAACAACAAAAAGAAAACGTGTTAAGAAAACAAATCGAATTGTCGGAGAAGGGGGCGGAATCATTAACATACCAGTCGTTTGGATGGTTTGATCAAGGGTCTATTCATGCCGTTCATCTTGTGGTACAATCCGCATGCGTTGCAGAGGTAATGGCCGGTGCCGTCGCGACGCCACAGGGGCGTCGAAATGGCGCCGCAATTGACGCACTCCCTGCCCTCGCCGAATTGGAACTCGACTGCGCCATCTGAAAATGATCGATTCAATTTAGTTCCATGAAGATGGCCGTATTCACTTCGTATCAAATAAACTGTAATTACTTTATGGGACTGGATTAATGGATTCATTCACTTTTTTTTCCCACGCACGATCTTCGCCGTCGCTTCCGATGAGCTTTCTCGCCCAATTAAAATATTTTGTAATTAAATTCGTTTTATCCTTCTCCGCGTTTGGAAAATTATTTATGGGAAAATGTGTGAATGTGAAATGCACTTTATTAAATGACTTTTAATTGATTCCAATTAATCATGATGATTCCAGTAAAATCATAAATATTTTGTCTGCTTAAAATTAGCGGATGACATTTTTATTCATATTTTATTCAAGTTTATTTTTGTACATATTTCTCAACTTAATGTCAAAATTAAAATTTATTAAAAAAATATTTTAATTGAAAAATTCTTAAAATTTTAATGACAGATTTAAATTTGACTTTATACTTTTTTAATTACGTTTTTGTTGATGATTTTCATTTCAGTAAGAAGTGCAGAAATTTATGATTAATTATTCTCCTTTAACGCAGTTTTCTTAACATTAAATTAGAAAACTTAAAAATCAATTGAATTATAATATACGAAAGATCGAATGTAATTTTTAATTGTTCAATATAAATTATTGAACATTCAACTAATTTCTATTATTTAAAATGCGAATAAACAAATATGAATCTAACGAAATTTATTTAAAATTTAATTTTGGCTTAAATTGTATAGAAGTTAGTAGTATATCAAGTATTATTTAAATTGCGTTTAAACTACATGTTTAGAATTTGGTAGATATTTGTACGTTAAGTGAATACAAGTTTCAGCGCAAACAAAGTTATCGAGTGAAATGCAAATCGGTTGTTTATCAGATATTCCTCGTTGCCCATTGTCCTTATCAGAGGAGCGTCAACGTTCGGCTTGGCCATTGTTAAATACTCCTTGGAGCGTGACCTAGCCGATTAATCAAATTGCGTTAGTTTTAAAGCGTTATCGTCCTCCAAAACACATTTTGCCCATTCTTATCGCATCCACGTCGACAATTAGAAAACGCGGTGTCGGTGGATGGAAGAAAGCAACCAAAGAGAAGGACAATGGTAACAAATCTGTTGTTGGCTCGAAAGCGGAAAATTAGCTTTATCGTCTTAAAACCCATTGTCTTAATCGGAATTGATGTTTCTAGAAACTTAACCTTTCCCACTTTTCCCCTTTATCAGCTACCGACCGCGATTGCGCTTCCAACAATGTAAATACACGTCAATGTACTTGATATTTCCACGTAAACGTGGCTACAAACATCCTAAAATTTCAATATAAAAAATAATCAAAGATTGATGAATTGCAGTTGGTTAATTGGTATGCGATTAGTTTTTGAAAATTGCGATCGGAAAATGAGAAGAATGTGTTTGGAAATTTTTCTGAAATTTATGTCCGAGGTGCGGCCTTCCAATTTAAAGCGGCAGCAGCCAAGACAAGCCGCATACTTTAGTATCACACATATACAAAGGCGCGCGCGATGCTGTTTTATTTTATTTTTCTTCTTCCCTTTTCCACTTGTAAATCGCGCGATTAGTTTCCTTGTTGCTCTTTCGGGTTTGTTTGTTTGTTTTTGCGTGGGTTCTGTATGTATGTATACAAGCATGAGTGTGTTCACGAGTGCGTGTGTGTGTGTGTGTAGTGGTCGGTCGGCTTTTGAGGGCCGGATGATTTACGCTGATGCGCCTTATCGGAAAACTTCTAATGTGGCTTTTAAATTAAAATCGTCCGTCGCATAAACAACCGACGGCCATTTTATAAGACTACTATTACTACTATACTATATAGTACACGAGATCGTTGAGATGAGAAGAGAGAGAGAGGATAAAACGAGAGACACGCGAGGAGTTAGATTGAGGCGACGCCCTCCTCTACAACTACTACTAAAGTATACTATAAAATAGATATAGCTAATCCAATCCAGTGCTGATCAATACTGTTTCAATGTGATTTATTTCGCGACTTTTAACTGTCAATTAAACTCTCAGTTAGTGTTTTGCATTTCTACATATTATTTGTAGAGAAGTGGCGACCCCTTTACCGAAATTGTCAAACTGCAAATAATATCATGATTTTTGTAAAATTTGTATATAAAAAATTTAAATACTAGGTAGACTTGCATACATTTTTGTAATGATCTAATTAAATTTTACGTTCTAATTGTTTCATAATATTTTATTCTAATAGACTTCAAATGTATATGGAAGTAATAATGTTCTTTTTGGGCGTTAAGGGAAAATATTCTATAATTGAGTAAATTCATGTTTTAATTACGTCATTAATTAGAAATCTTCAAATTAGATTACTTCGTTTCTGCTTTATGATTATTAATAGTGTTTTTATAATTACTGCGCTTGCTAATTAGAACTACGTTTTCTGCGTTACAGTAACTCAAATGACTAAAGTATAATTAAATAAGTGTTGAGATTTAATTAATAATTCAACTGATTTTAGTTAAAATATGACTAAAGTATTTTTTATATGATTTGAATTTGATTCTGATTAATGTAAAAACTGAAATACTTTGTCTATGAAGTTTATGGACTAGGGTATAATTGAAAAAGTACTACATTATAATAAGATACAGGATGGAACTAATATAAAGAAAAATCCAACTAAGTCGATAAGCTCCAATGGAGAAGCAGTAATAAGTCCATAATAATGAACATAAATAAAAAAAAATAGTAAGAATAATCCGATGTAGATTGTGTAGGAGTGGTGGTAATGGGGAGTGCCGGTTAACTAGCTTCACTTGTTCACTAAAGCAGGCGATGCCACCTGGATTTACAAACTAGGAGTCTTATGGTAGTGAAGATCCGAGATGCTGACTTACCGTACGGTGAGGTGCGTTGGAATCCGGTGGCGTGGGAGCCGTCGTAAGCCCTCCAGGCAGTATTCATCATCATGTTTTGCGCGTAAAACTGTCCCGCACTTAGAGCACCATGGGATCCGGCTATGGCGGCACCATGTCCGGAAACGTCTCCGTAGCCTCCACCAGCTGCTGCAGCAGCCGCGGCCGCCGTATGCCAACTGGTTTGATGATGGGATGCAGCGAAGTGATGACTTCCCGGTGATGGATATTGCGGCATCGTTGCGCGATTACTGGGCACGTAAACTGGGGATTGCTGAAGATGTTGATGGAAGGATGCAGATGCGCCACCGTCCATAGACAATCTACCGTCTGTGTAGCCGCTTGGCGTGCTCGGGGTTGAATGAAACATTTTCGGCTTTTCTTCTCGATGCACTAAAAAGGGCGTTTGAGTTGAGTTGGTGGTGGTGGTGGTGGTGGAAAGAACCTAACGAGTCTGATGGTGGGGTGGTTGAAAAAAGATCGGGGTAGCAGTGGGGATGGATGGGTCCTCTTGTTATTCTCTTCTTTTAGGGTCCTTTCTATGTCCACCGCAGGGGTTTTACTCTCCTTCACTTCATCTGCAAATACACGAAACGTAAACATCATAAATTCATCTCGAAGACTTTTATAGCCCTTCAAAAATTGGAAACCAAATTGAAGGACTTCATAAACCGCAATTGTTATTGCATTATACGCATAATAATAGCAAGAGACCTATGCTAATTCAGTTTACGATTCAAAATATAATACAGCTTTCTCGACCACAATATAATTATGAAACCAATAAAATAGATGGCGCTTCCTCATCTAAAATGATAAATATTGTTTTTTTCAAAGTTATGTTGATAAATTATTAAAACAATAAAACTCAAATGATGTAAATGGAAAATTTGGACCAAAGTCAATCTTAATTCGCATATGTTTTCTATTTTTATTGAAAACCTTTTATGTATTTGCTACCATTTGATGCAAGAATTAAAGTTGTAATTCATATGTACGTCATGATTTAAAAAATTACATTTTACTTATCTTTTTAATATATTTAGTCTTTTACTGCAAAATATGTAATTTTCATTAAATTTACAATATATTAATTATCTTCGATGTTAACTGGCATATGATAACGTATATTTGGATTCATGATTTAAAAAAAAATATCCCCAATATAAAATATAAAGGTAACATAATTAGGATTTAAGAACAAATTAACGCCAATTAATATAATTAACATCACTCATTTAATTTCATACAAATTGTTGCATCTTTAATAAAATATTATTGTATTTTAATCTAGTTTATACTCAAATAATCATTTATTCAATTGTATTTACATATATGATTTTTAATCTATTTTGTTACATATTGTTCAATTCAAAGATTTAATTGAAATTAATGTCATATTTGAAAGATTCAGAAATATTTATTTTTTCAATTAAATATAGCAATACCTCGCATAGTGCGGTAATAACCCGGATTGTTTGAAACCGGACTAATCGATGGAGGAATAATATGAATAGAATAATAAGAGAAAAAGAATAATTATTTTGTGTACAATTGACTGATCAAAGCCGCATAAATAAATCAATGAAACTTGGGATTGTTTTTTTAAAGTTTCGTTCTTTTTTTAGCTAAATATGAAAGTTAGGTAATATTATACAAAGTTGAATGACATGTTTCAACCGAAAGTAGTTTCGTTAATATTTTACCTGAAATATTCAAATGACAGGACTGCATAAATACTGGCGCATTGTGTTTCCCTGTAGGGCTTTTTCTATTTCCATTTGTTTCTTTTAGGTCAAAACAAACTTGCCTTTGGTAATTTCAAAGAAAAACATTTTAATATTTGTTATTTGGAGAAGAAAACAAAAAAATACATTTGAATTATTACAATTTTAAGGTTGACGCAATTTCATGAAAATTGAAATATATAATACAAATTTTACTCAAATAAAATTTAGTTTCTTTTGAAATTTTCAAACCAAACTATAGTGAATCCGGACTGATCGAAGCAGCAAAAGGCGAGGTATTGCTGTACTTATTAAACTTAATCAATATAGTTCGCAGATAATACTAGCATGAATGATTAAACAAACTGTTTAAGTTATTTTTTTTACAAAATGCAAAATTAAAAAATTGTAAATATTATCTTATCAAACAAACTTATTTTGTCGTCTTTTATCCACATATTTTAACTTACAACTCATTTATTCTCCTAAATAGTACAAAAAAAACAGCAGATTATTGGTTGTCGTTCATTACATGTATTACAAATACCAAAAGCAATATCTTAAAAGCCATTAAGTAAATCACGCGTTTGGAATCAGAAATAGGGTTTGTTGGCCTAGGTGAACAAACCATTTAATACGGCTTTCAAAGTTCTAGAAATTTCTGTTTTTATACAAACAAATATCCTATTCGTGTGACACGCCGTTCCGATGAAAAATCCATATTAAATGCATCTCAAGGAATGAGGCTTTCGCATTCGCAACGATTATTCAAGAATGTTATCGAGTTATTATTAATGAAGCGAAAGAAATTAATTTCATATGTACGTTTCAACGGACGACGTTTTACTATCACAATATGAACAGTTACATAATTATACTTGCAATCAATTAATTAATTGATTGTAATTTGAATTGAGTTATACAATCATTGAATATTTTACATGTAGTTATTAGAACGCTTAAACTGCTCTTGTTTTATAATTGTTTAAGGTTTATACATTTTCATACCTTTTTTTTCTATTGTGAATATTTCAATGAATTATTTTCTTATTAAATTTAATTCTCCGAATTATATTAATAATATAACTTCAATAGTTTTCAGATATTTTTTTCATAAATAATTCAGTTTTATATTCATTTATATTTAAAATTATTTAGATGATTTGTTTGTAATTCGAAGTTTGATATTTTTTTTGTAAATCATGCTGAAATGGAACATCAAAGAAAAGTAATTAGAAATAATCTAAAATTGATTGAAATACTAAAGCTGTTTATGTTTGAAAGTTTATAAAGAAGACACTTTTTAAGAAGAAAAACATTTTTCTGAAGAAAGGTACTCCAAGTAGTTTTGCCCTTAAGGCACTAAGAACGTGTACTCCAACATGTGTTGAATATGGATTCAATCAATGATGGATTTATATATTGAAAAATAATTTTGAAAACTGCAGTAAATTCGAAATTATAGTTCATTGAAATATTAGAGTAAACAACAATTTTTGCATTATAAAATAACAAAGGCAAATATAATAAGATTTACACATGTTTCTTAATCTGTTTATGGAATAATAGATAATTGTCTTTATATTAGAATGGAAAAAGTTGTTTTGCATTATGCATATATAAATATTCCTGGCGTTAGAATTGAAAGAAAAAACAAGGTTTATCGTTTATGGATTAATGAAGTGAAACGAGGTCTGTTTCCCCGTTAATTTGTGCTTTCTGTTTCAGATAAGTCGTTAAGTTCCGCAAGCTGCAAGGGCACAGACGGAGGGAGGAGAAAAAAAAAGCCGCACATAAAAGTGGAAGGAAAAGGGAACCCGATAATGAGTGAGACTAATGAACCGCAGATAAGATACTTTTAGTCGCATACGTCTCTTTCTCGTCTAGAAGTAATTGCAGAAAGAAATATTTATAATCTCACAGAAATACACTTTTCAGGTGAGTTTTACAGTATAAGTTTATATAACATACAATTTATTCATTAGAATTATCCTAACTTCAATTTAATTTTATCTAATTAGTATATATATTAGTATATATATATAATAGTATAGTATATATAGTATTTTCTACTATATAGTAGCGTTTCTTAACCTTTTCATTGTATCAGTTACTCAATTTCTAAGAGTATTTCACCAGTTTCTTGGTTTTAAATTTGTTTAAGTGACAGCTTTTTCATAGGCTGTATTATGTTGAAACTTGTCATAGGTTGAGAGAAGCTTTCATATAGTACACATTGTATACTGTAATTAGGGATATAATTTACGTTACGGTAATTGTGGTGAAAACAAACTGTGTTTGTATATAGAAATACTCCTCACTTTTCATATGAATTTTTACTGTATTCAAAGTGTATATAAATAATGGCGTTGCATTATGCAATTCGGAAGATGATTTATGCGGGTCGAGCGCAAGTGCGTCCGATATGGTTGGCAATGTTGTAGCTAAATGCGCGGGTCGAGTCCACTGATAATGGTTATACCCTTATCTATTCCCACTGACACTAATTATTTTCGATAGCTGTTATCGCCTTTCATTTCCGCGATACCACGTCCACAGCAGGAACAAAAAGCATTTGTCGATGAAGACAAACTATAGAACAATTAACAACAATTGTATAAAACAATGGTACGAAATAATTATGGGAACAACGATGATAATGTTGTTGTAGTTGCAATATTCCAATGAATATTTAACGAAAATCTACTAATAATGCTTATCTACAAAATAAATAAATGTAGAAGACAAGAAAATTAAAAAAAAATTAAAAAATATAAAAAAATAGTTTCTTGTACAAGAAAATCGCTGTTGTTTTTTATTTTTGTGTCAATTAGACTAAAGTACCACACAACCTTAATACAGCCCTGATCCATTTATATAATAATGGAAATGAACATTGAAAGTAAATAGGCAGAAATTATTGGAACTAAAATTCTGTTTGTTTTTTCACATTTAAAACATTTGTAGATAAAAATATCTTAAAATTTATGCCACAACTATTTTCTTTAATAATTATCAGGAAATTTGAAATAATTCAATATTTGTGTCTATTTGTGTAGTAAGAAAAATAAAATACTTAAGTAAATAGAAAAAAAAGTAATTACAACTTAAAACACTTCTTAAATATACAAGATTTTTCCAAAATTGAGAAAATAACCAAAGTAATTGAAAATGCGTATCTAAAAGAGTATACATTTTTCTTAAAACTAATTTTGTTTCTTGTTATTTGCGAAATATAATTAAGAAGTTTATGCAACTGTTCGTTTTTTTTTTAATTTACAGTTGTTAAAAATAAATATTTCAATAAATTTGTCAAGAATTTTTTTTATGAGAAGAGCAGACTTTTGTTGTTTTTGTTGTTGTGGTTGCGGTATTTGAATGTTTGTGTCTATTTATGTAGTGACGCTTCCGAGTTCCTCGATTGTAATATTAGCTTGTGTAGTATGCGTGGTATTCAACCTCAATAATTTAGAGATCCCTCTAAGGGTCGTGTCATCGGCGATGTTGTAACTGGAGGAGCATTCCGTTCCGAATGCTGACGCCCTGGTCCATGAATAGCACCTCGTAGCTGCTATAGCAGTCGCAGCAGAAGCATCCCTTAATTAGAACACATTCCCCAATCACGCATAACTCATCACTCAACTCTCCCTCGCCGAATACAAGCTAGTTGATCACCACATAATCTATAGCTCCCGTTTGAGCTTTTGAACTCTTCGTGTACATTTAAACCCTGTTTTGCGTTCTTAATGTCACAATTCGTTCTCAACTTGACAAATGTAGAATTTTCAATGCACTGTAATCGGTTATTCATGCGTTACAGCTTATGATAGTTAAGCAACGTACGTTGCGGA